CTATGGGGCACTAGCTCTGAGACTCAAGGCCTATATTGGCCATGGTGAATGATGGGAACATGTGGCAGGAGTCTTGCATGAGATTGTATAAAACCAGCAGTGTGAGTGCAGGCAGCCATGGTGATATACAGAGTATCCCCTTAAACACAGCACAAGGAACTTACTTTGCCTCATGCCTGTGACCAAAATCACCATGCCACAAATGCCTGATAATTTTTTTTTTCTTCTTTCCTTTGTCATCTCATTGACACCAGGTTGTAGCCCAGTATTGAAGGTGTCAGTATTTTAGTTCTCATGTGGCTTGGTTGATGGATTTGTGCATCTTTGGTTTCAGCGACGCCATTTATCCTTCTCTTTCATGGTCTTTCTCTAGCCTTCCTCCCAAATGTTCTGCTGTATAAATAATTCATATGCAGTTTGGTCTGGCTGCATTCTCACTAGATGGCCGCGCCATTTCATTTTATGTCTGTCACTATAATTCAGACAGGGTGGTATTCCAAATTTTCTTCTAATGCTGGCATTCATAACCATGCCCCTTCTTGTACTGTTAGTGACCTTACGTAGAGGGTTTATCTCACAGGTAGTTATTTTCTATTCTAGTGCCCTAATAATTGTGCCTGATAAATAACACCTGCTGGCCTATGTCAGGTTTTTACTTTGTTGTCACTGATTTTGTTTAGGATCATTTCAACAAGAACAAACGTAACCAGCAACTGTTGCTGTTAGAGAAAAAGATAGACAACCTATTACAGCACTGGAGGTCTCGCATTGGCCTGGAGAACAAACAGGTAATCTGCCTCATCATTTCTCTGTTGTATTTGTTTGGTCTCACTATTTAAAAAAAAAATTTTGTTCAATTGCTTATGGATTACTTGTTTCTAATTCAGATAGTAAAAATGGACATGTTAACTGTTTTGCTGGGTCATTTTCTAGAAAACTGGGCTTTAATCCTTTAATCTAATGCATCAGTGTTCAGGTCAGTTTGGGCTAAAATCTCTCAGTGTTGTTGGTGTAGATTATTTTCTTCTTTATTCAGCGCTGAAGTTGAAACTGTATGAGTATAGTTTTGTAGAGCTCTCCTTCCTTTCTCCAGCCTCACAGATCAGAGGGGTGCTCAAGATTAGTATTTTGCAGTTAAGAGATATTTGGCATGACCCAACTCAGCATATAGTTCAGTAGTATTGCATCGGATAAGATCAGTAAAATATGCTAAGCAATAACTTTTGCAAAAATATTGCCTGTGCTTTTGTGTTTAAATTCACAACAGGGAAACATTGTTTTGAATTTATTGGCTTATTTGAGCCAGTTTCCTTGTATATTGAATACTTTGCTATTCGTCAATAAAAGTAAAGTAAAGTTAAGGACCCTTTTCCATGCCTTTAGGCGTATAGGGCATGTAGGGCTAGAATTCTATTTGTAAAGACCAATCGGCACAAGATGGGTGATGTGGTCAGCATCACGCCGGCCGCCTTTTCTTCCCGGGATTGCACCTGGTACCCACTCAAGGCTGGGTCGTCCTGGAAGCCAGCGTCATTTTTGAAAAAAGTCCGGCTCCACCAGGGAGCGAACCCACGACCTTCCGATCCGCTTGGCCACGGCGACTCCCATTCGTCAGTAGAGGTGTGAAGAAATAAGAGAAATGTTTTAGCTACCACTGGTAACAGCAGTTAAAAGACACTGAAGATGGCACTATATAAGACACATCCTGTGAAGAAACAAGCAGATGATTACCAAACATTCGCTAATATGAGCAATACAGGGATTGAGGATGTTAAAAAGAAAGCCTAAAACAAAAGTTGATGAGAGAGCTCAAAAGTGCTGGACTGGATTCCATCTGTAGACTGGAAGCCCTTTAAGACATTTAATGGCACAGCAGGACAATGATGATAATGATATTTACCTCTACCATTGGTCTCCAGTGTGGGGGGGGGAGGGGGGGGGGGGGGGGGGGGGGGGGAGCCTTGAGGAAATTTCAAGGGGGAATCATAAAGTTTATACTTCTAATAATCAGAATTTTCAGCTTTTATAGTCATAAAAGTAGGCTCTGTGGCTAAGTTAATGCAAACGCTTCGTAATGCCGGGGTGCCGGGTTTGATCCCAGCTGCGGGCCATGCGTTGGTTTCGACAGTGGTATCTGGGGTGCCGACTGTCCAGAAAGCAATGGCACACTATTGGTCATAAATTTGCCTTAAAAAAACCACACAACAGCCAGGGGGCTGCTGGGGTCGGTTCTGCAACGTCCTGTAAAAGATACGCAACTAACCTATAGTCATTTTAAAAAAAGGCTTGTTAGCTTGATGTGAAGAATGATTTCCGTTGTGCCTTGTCCATCATCAAAACATAAAAAGTAGATATAGTATCATGATTACAACAGTGTCAATCATCACATTGATATTTGGACACTAAATTATCAGTTTTTGGGGATTGTTTCTTTTCTTGAATTACATTTAGAATTATGTTTTTCTCCCAAGTTTTTGTTAATGGTGCTTTGGATTTTTCTTGTTTGTTTTCAACTTTTTAATCATATTTCTTATGTGTTGGGGGGGGGGGGGGGGGGGCATATATATTAAAAAGATGGTGGTGAGTCACATTTTAAGGTTTTCATTTGAAACCCCTCATACTTACCACCAAGATATCAGTGCACTGTTTATGTATCAGATAGGATGCCAGTTTGCATTGTTATTTTCTTGGTTTGGGTTATTAAATGTTTTTGTTTGTCCTGCAGCCAAGTGAAAGACCAATTGTCCTTAGGAAAAGAAGACAGAGGATAAAAAGTGAAGGCAACTGGCCACTGTTTTACTACCATTTCAATCAGGTAATAAAGCATCTACTTGCAGCAAATGTGTGTGTGAAAGGAATGAAAAAAAAAAAAAGTAAAAAAATCATGGAATGATTGAATAACATATGAGGCGCTCCTCCTCAAGGGAGAGGAAAATTATAAACTGATTAGTGAGGTTAGAAATCAGTGTTTTTTTAGGGGGCAGGTTATGAGAAGAAATAGGCTCAAGAACTTGATTACAGCTGTCAATAGTGGTGGAAAAAAATGATCAAAGGTAAAGTAAAGAGATGAATACAAGGATAGGCTGGCCATATGAATGGGGTGAGACAAGAGCACACACCTGATCTGTGATTTTGGTGATTGTATTAGATAGGGGCAAAACATGAATGCTTATGCTTGTTGGCTGGGCACATGATGATGATTAACTAGGCCCTGCAGGGAAGGGGCTCAGATCAGAAATCCACAGATGGTACAATAGACAATGGAAGCATTCATTTGGAAAACCAAATGTACATAGCACTTCAAGGTTCTAATAGCTATGAACTATGTTGATAACTTCTTGATTTTTATAGTTTCTTTCTGACCTTTGGTAAATCTAATCTGTAACAGTTATTTTTCTTTTCTTTTTCGGTTCATTATCTCTGCCCCACTCCTTTCCCCACCCCCATTTTCACCCCAGTGAAACATGGCTGTCAACCTACCCCAAATCATCATCCTGTATTTGCTATCGCATGCAGCCCACCCCGGTCTTCCCATCTTCAGGAAACCTGTGGTCTAAAAAAAAAACACATTACCAAGATCCTGTGTTTCTTGTATATCAGGGATTCCCAGAAAAAAATGCCTTTCAAAAACCAACAAATACCATACAGATGAAAGGGAGTTATTGATAAAAGTGGCTACAACTGAGAATTCAATAGCTATGTTTTTTTTTTGAACATTGAACATACTTATAGTGTGACAGTTACTTGACCTCCATGACCCAGTTGATAAGTAACCCTGTGAGTAATGGGGGAAAAATGTGATGTCAGAATTTCTGTAGATATAGCAGTTTGAGATTGTTTGGCTACCTGACGAGAATGCCCTGGTACCAACTGCCAGAGAGAGCCATGATGAAGAAATATAATAAACACAGAGCAAGGGTGAGACCATGCAACAGATGAAGTGACAACATCAGGAGCAGCCTAACAGTAATGAACACCAACTTGTACAATGCATTGGAAAAAGCGCAAAAATGATCATTACACTCCCCCCCCCCCCCCCCAACACCTCGCTGGGGTAAATGGTAGAAGAGAAAGAGAAAGCGGTTTCTCCCACCCTTCCCCCCCCCCCCCCCCACAAGCTAATCCCTCTAAAAACTATTTTTAGTAAATGTAATCAATCCCAGTCCTACTACATGTTTGCTCAGGCGCAAGCAGAATCAGTTTTGCTAACTATGCTTCTCGTAAACAAGCCACTATAGTGTGTCAGGGTCATGATTCTTACAGGTGAATGGCACCAGGGTTTGCGGCCTTTCAGAGCAGTCTCTAGTTCCCTTCTACAGGATGCGGCATTCAGTGTTTCTCCCTTTGAAAGTGGGATAAAACACATTTTTTGTACACAGCAAAAAAATTTACCTGTACATGGTTAAGTAAATCATTGTCTTGGACAAAACAAGTCTCAAGTCTTGAATATGTCTTGAAGATGTCCTTTATAACAGTTAAGGCAATGCTGCCATCTCCTAGGTACACTTGCCATTAGTGTCCTGCATAATGTTCACCATCTCCTGATGAATTGCATTTTTAAGGCTGTTAATGTCAGGCAAAGAATAGGTGAAAACTTGAGATTTCAAGTCTCCTCATTTAAAAAAAAAAAAGGTATACTGCAGTGAGGTCCTGTGAATTGGGAGGCCAGTGAATTTTGCCAAAGCAAGAGAAAAGTCACCTGGGGAAGGCAACAAGTATGGTGTTCACTGGGAGTCGTGCCCTGTAGGCTGTGGCACAATCCTGCTTAATGCACGCTACGTTGGGTGTGACTATGTGGATGGGTTGGGTGTATGTGTGGGGGAACGGGGTGTTTAGGTGTGGGTAGAGTAGGTATATGTGTCGGTTGGATGTGTGTGGTTGTTTCTCTCTCTCTCTCTGTGTGTGTGTGTGTGTGTGTGTGTGTGTGTGTGTGTGTGTGAGAGAGAGAGAGAGAGACACCATTTATGTGTGTCTTAGCGTATTTGCTGCTGTTCTAATAGGACCATGCAAAGCCTAACCTGATCTGGAACTACAAGACTCGAGAGGAACTCCGGGAATGTCTGGAGAATGAGATCAGAGCCTTCAATGTCGACAAGGAGCTGGGGGCCACATTTGTCGTGGGCTGGAACCATACTGAGTTTGAGGTCCCTTACAATTGTTTGGCAGAGGAGATCAAGATTGGTGAGTGATTGTCAAACCTTATTATTGTGTCATTACATGCAGTCTTACTGAAATGGTTTAGCCTTTAAATGAGAATCAGTACAGTGATGCCAGAAACGAGAGTGTACAATATGAAAGTAGAAACATCAAGAGATATTGGACAGCTAAGAAGAAGATTGATTGAAGGAGTCATTGATACCTTTAACCTCCACATCATCATAGCATCCCAGGCAACTGAGTGTACCCTAGCTCGGATACCACTTATCTGTAAATTAGCGATGCTTAGCGGCACAATGTAGAGTGTGGAGACATATAATCTTAGGGTGCTGTGGTAACACACTGGCAAGCATACTCACTGACCAGTCCTGCGGTCATGTGTTTAAGACCTTTTTGAAAAGTTTTATTCCTAATTTGCATCAGACCAAGGTGGATCTGTTGATTAATAGGTTCTGGGAATTGAAGAAAGTCAGTGTTAAAATGACCATGTTAAACATTGAGTGTCAGTAGATCTATAATGATATGACTGCTAGCAGTATAAACCCAGTAGTTTACATTTAAAACATTTAGATTACTATCATCTGTATACATGAATTTATGTCTTTGTTGTCTATGCTTTATTATTGGTACTTAACATTTACATTATGTATATTGCTAAATAAACTTAACATGTTTTATACAAGGGGACTTCAAATGAAATCCTTAGAGTGTGATAGAAATTACAGTAACTAAGCCATTGTCTTGTAGCCTATCAGTATTAATGTTAAGGATTTCAAATGTCTTAAGCATGTGATCCTACAGTTTGAAGATGACCACCCCTCTTTTGACATACACTAAAGAAGAGTTTTTATTTTTTAAATTAAGTCAGTGAAGGGATGAAACGTATAGAAATTTATTAACAAATGAAGGGGCTGCATGGTGATATATACCTATCAGTTCAGCAAGTGTGTGACTGGAGTAGGGAGTTTCGAATGGTGGGACTTTGTGTGACAGACTGTTCCCAACCCGGTCAGGCAAACCAGGTAGTGATCCCAGGGTTGACTGCAGCCATTGAAGGCTTTGTACTGGAGAACCGTCAATTGACTGTCAGTGATATTGTGGCCCATCTTAATATCAGTCAAGGTTCAGCACACCACATCATCCATAATGTGCTACAGTACCGCTATGTGGGTGCCACTGCAGCTTACTCCAGAAATTAAACAGGAATGTATTGATGCTTTTCAATAACTTTTGTGGTACTTTGAGGCAGAAGGTGATGGTTCCTATCGAGGATAATTACAAGAGATAAAATCTGGGCTCACTACCATGAGCCAGAAAAAAAAGAGAGCGAGCAAGGAATGGTGCCATCCGTCCTTACTAAAGCCAAAAAAGTTTCACATGCTGCTCTTCTTTGCTGCCTGTCAGAATTGGGTTGGCAATCTTTAAAGTGTCATTACAATGTCTTTGTGTTCCTCTGCACTATAATGTCACATGCTTAACCCTCTTGACAACCTTCACAAGAATATTCCCAGTTTAAAAAACAATGGCATGGTTATGGTCATTTATTTTGCACTTTTCAGGTTTTTGTTTAAAGCCTCCTGATAGGTAAAATGCAATTGCTTTGTGAAATACAAATGATTGAAAGGGCTGAATATAAGATGGGACTTAAGCATGATTTGTGATCCTTGGGGAGAGAGTTCATTCGTTTTTTTCTCAGGGGAACTTTAAGAATTATTTTTTTTCTTTCTTATATAATGATACAAGTTTTATAGTAAACCTTATGAGATATCAAGAAAAGGAATAAAACTGAACAAAAAGTATTTTAACAAGCTTCACAATATAACAAATACAAACAAAACGTGAACGTTGCGACTATGGAGCCTTCATCAGCACATACACAAATCAAACAAAACTACACAAATACACAAAATTACTTAGCTGGTATCTCAAAGCAGCCGGGTCGATGAAATACAATGAAATATGCCAAAAACAAACTTTTACAGATCTGACAAGCTGAAAAAGATGGGAGAATAACATAGGTTTTTTCCTGCAGTATACACTCCCGTGATTTGGCGGCCAAGGTTTATTTTGTTGTCTTCTGTCTGTCCAGGGGATTACTATCTGCGGCTGTTGTTGGAGGAGGATGAAGATGAAGCCACAGAGGAAACCAGTGCAATAAAAAAATCGTAAGTTATTGTAAGGTGTGATTAATCTGCATTTTCATATGCTTATAAAGCAGTGGATGCTGGAAATCTTCTAATGGTCCCCTCCATGTATTTTTGGTAGTCATGTCTATTCACGACCTTCTGTCTCTTATACTTTCGGTCAGTTCTGGCACTGGTGTAGTTTCATCGCCTAGCTTCTGAGTTGAGTGCATGGTGTGATACTGTGAGCTGCGATTGTTTTTCGTTGGCACAGGAGCAGAGCAACTGTGGGGTGACCCGTTTGCTATGAAGCTGAAACTAGGATTACCAGATTACCAGTTCTGGCACAGATGATCTGTGTAGTGATGTGAGAGTGTCCAGCATCTTTTCTCTTGGTCTCCTTCTGCCTCTTTTCCCCTCTAACTTTCCAGTTGTCATGATGTACTTCAGTTTTCTCCTTCTAATAATGTGACCAAAGATTGTAGATTGTCTTCTTCTGATATCCGCATTGAGGTTTCTCCAAAATTCAGTTTCTTTCAAGTCATCTTTAGTGCTCTTTTTTTTTTTTTTTATCTCATCATTCGTCTATGAAACCACATTTATGCAGCTGATCTTCAACTGTCCCTGATTCATTTCCATATATCAGGATAGGATTTATAAAGCTCTTAAAAATTATGTTTCTCATCTCAGTTGACAAAGAAAAGAAACATTACATAAAATTTTCTTCATTTTATAAAATGCTGCCTTTGCTTTAGCTATTCTACATTTAATTTCTTTAATAATCTTCCATCTGATGTTATCAGGGTACCCAAGTACTTAAACATATAAAGTGATATCACCTTGCTTAACAATTGTCCCATTAACTTTGATGTTGCATTTCTGCTGTTCAAAGACCAGTGTTTTGACTTTCTGTTACAATTATGTCCATCATTTTTTTACAGTTGTGTTTTTTTTTTCCAGCGATCAAAGCGATATAGTCAGCATATTGCTGGTTTTCAACGTTATGTTCAGCAGTTGATATTCCTGGCATACCATGTTTGGATCTTATCATTATTTCACTGTAAAAATTGAATAAATCAGGTGATAGTACAAATCCCTGTCTAGTACACATCCATTTCTGATGCCTAGCCGTTTGTAAATAAATATATACATGAACAGATTGAAGCATCAATTTGAATATATTTCACAGAGACTTTAAGAAAAAAAATGAAATGTATCAGATGATTTGATGATTTATTGATTTATGCTATGCTATCACTGAGGCTTGGGGGAAAATTAGATGCTAGCTTTGATTAAGTTATTTGGCTCCAACAGACTTAGCCAACCCTCCCTGCTCCCTTTTCCTTTCTGATGCTGTTGTTAGTTAATATATCCAAATCCTTACTTCCCAGACATTACGCAGTTCAAAAATATTTTATCAATATTAAAGCTGACCCTGGTATATCATTGATGTAGAGAAATAAAATTACTTCTGTCATAGCTTTCACAGTTTTTGTATTTTTAAATCTATGTGCTATTTCAGGTATGAGTTTTTCAATGACCTGTACCATCGGTTCCTGCTGACTCCTAAAGTGAACATGAAATGCATGTGCTTGCAGGCCATGGCAATTGTCTATGGCAGGTGTCATGAGGAGATTGGTGCTTTCAATGACACCCGCTATATAGTGGGCATGCTGGAGAGAGTAAACACAGCTTTGTATTTTGTTACGTTCACTTTTTGTTTGTTGTTTTCTTCGTCTGGTTGGAACTTTGCATTCAATTTTTACATGATTTCCTGATAAGCTTTTGAGCTGAAATTTTACACCCACATGTTTTGAGGATGATATTGCAATATAGTGTGAAAATATTCTGAATTTTTTTTCTTCTAATTGATAATATTGGGTGTCAAAAATTGTTCACGTCAGAAAATAAAAACACACATTTTTATGAAGTATTCTATTTTATTTTTTTTTCTGTTATTATATCCATGTTTTAAGGGATATATTCACAAGTTTTTGGTCAGAAAAATTAAATTTGATGTAATTACCTAATCCTGATAAGCTGTCAGGTGTAAATTTTGCTCAACAATGCTTTTTGCCGCTGCTACTGTTGCAACCAACAAAATTTGAAATAACTTGGGGGTGAAACAGTATATAATACTTGACCTCAAATATTACATTATAAGTTATTATCTGTAAACACTGGATTCAGTTGTTAAAATTCATGTACTGTATAATTTTATGTATATTAATACAATGGTAACCCACACTATTATTAGTTGTGATATGATATTGTAGCTGAATATTGTAAAGATAATTATTTAATCAGCTGTGCCCATTAAACAGTATGAAGAATTATTTGTATATTTTTAAGGCACTGATTATTGTATGCATTGTAAATGACAGCTAATTTTATCAAATGTTTTTTTCTTTTTTGAAATCTTGTTTCTCTTTGTGTTATTTTCTCTTTCTTTTCTTATACCTTTCTTCCTATTTATTAATTAATTTTTTTTAAATTATTATTATAATTTTTTCTTCTTTTTATGATCGTCATCATTCTTTTCCTCCTCCTACTCCTTCTTCTTCTTATTTCTCTCCTCTGCTTCTTAAAGTTTGTAATGATTTTGTTACAGAAAAGATATCACATGTAAATTATATCTGTAGTGAACTGATTCTACTCTGCTGTGATCTGACCTAAACCTATAATAGAAATCAATGTAAGCTAAGAATAAAATCATCTATGTATTTATCTGTCCAGTGTACAGACAGAATTGAACGGGACAGGCTCATTCTCTTCTTGAATAAGTTAATTCTGCACCAGAGAAATGTCAAGGAGATTATGGATGCAAACGGAGTGAAGACCCTTGTCGACCTGTTGACCTTGGCTCATCTTCACACGACAAGGGCAACAGTCCCACTGCAGGTGTGTTACAGCTTTTTTTTAAATGCTAATAAACAATCATATTGTCACCTGTGATTCTGTGGTTATACTTTTTTTATTTCCCTTTCTTTCTTTATAGTATCAGCTAAGTAACGTAGTAGTTAATGTACCTCTTTTTATTGCTTTCCTCTTCTTTCTCTTTTTCTTCTTCTTTTTCTTCTCCCTATTCTTCTTTGTCTTCTCTCTATTCTTCTTGTTCTTCTTTTTCTCTTTCTCCAGTTACCTCATCGAAGTGTTAAAGGGAGAGATGTAAGGATTTTGTGTGTGCTCTTTATAATGCATTGCATAATTCAGGGCTCGTAGCGTCCCTTGAAAACTGGCAAAATATATAATATCCCTTACGTCCTTCTTAGGATGTAATTTTTTGATTATTTGAAGCCCCACTCTGGCTTTTGCCAGGGGCCGCAATATAGGCAGGCCAACAATGTGGCCAATAGTCTGAACGCGGTTTCTGGGACCTCTCCACGGTGATCCTCATCCACATGGTGGCATTTTGTGTCATCGGGTGTTTGTCGCTTGTGTGATGTCCTGGTGGGGTAGAAAGTCAGTCAGTCAGTCAAAACTGGCAAAACCCTTGAATAACAACCAGGGCCTTAAAACTTCAAATGCCTTAGATGATTTTAAAAAGTGACCAAGTCCTTGAAATTGGCCTGCAGCAGTGGGAAAGAATAGTTCACGCAGTTTGTTAGAAGACATGTGATTTACAGTTACTATAGTTGTTTCTGATCATTTTTGGGAAACTCTGAACTAATAGAGCTAATGGTTTATTTGGTTGTCCTGAGTTCTCATTGTGTTAGTTTTGTGGCAGGCCTGACCATCTCATCTGCTGCTCTTTAATGAACAGTATGACTGGTTTCAGTCCCTTTTTTTTTTCTAAATTCTGGATTTTTCATTTTATCTCTTGTTAGTATAATTATCTACAGGTGCAGGAATCCAGTTCAGAAAGCAGTGGCAAACTACAGAATGTAAAATTATCTTGTAAAACTAAACAGGCAAACAATGCTGTGGTTGGTTTTGCTAAGGATGTGAAACAAAAATTTTTTGTAAACTGATTTTTTGTTCTGAGGCAAAGTGCATAAATCTTGCATGTGTATACTATTGTTTCATATCTACATGTTGAAAATAATTTCCTTTGTGTCTCAATGTACATATACTTTTTGTATTCTTTAGTGTTCCATGTACACTTTTTATGTGTATTCCATAATATCTACCCCTTTCCATGTGCATTCCACAATGCCACGTACACAGTTTTCCACATGTCTTGTACAATATTTCATATAAGTATTCTGTATTATCATGCAGACTTTTCCATGTGTCTTCTGTAACATTCCATGTGTGTATTCTGTATTATCATTGTGTATTCTCTAATATATGTACATTTTTCCATGTCTGTTCTATAAAACTATAACAGACCAGTATCATGTGTACACTTTCTAGACAAATGTGATTGAAGCCTCCCCTGATATGCATAGAGAAAGTGAAAAAGAGTGGTACTTTGGAAACAAGGAGAAAGAACGGCTGGGTCCCTACAGTTTTGAAGAGGTCAGTTCAGTCAGTTCATTGCATGTGTGTTAGTGTATGAGAATGATGCATTAGTGAAAGTGATTATTGTTGTTGTTGTTAGCAAGCACCATTCCATCTTTCTAGATGTACGTTCCAGTGTACTGTAGGGAAATATGGGGATGAACCTGTGGTGATACAAGTTAAGGTCTGGGATGAAACTGCTCCTCTAAATAGCACAAAGTCTAGACAGTATTGTACAGACCATATGTTGCCCACGCAGCAGGGTCATTCTATCCTACCTTGTTACCTGCAAAGGAATGTTAACACCAGTACATCTGGGACACCATAGAAGCAGAAGAGCATGCTCTGGATTTTTGATTGCTGAATGAATATGATCTGAATGGGAAGTTAACAGAAATAGGTATTGAAGTACTCAAGGGAAAGGCGAGGCAGATATAAAATCAGGCTTTTACTGATGCCATTGGAATTGGAACTCTTTGCTTGCTGCTGAAGATGGGGATGGAGTACTTCAGGGAATGTCTCAAGTTCTGTGATGTCAATTCTTAATTTAACATTTAACATTCAGGTACAGAAGTAATCCAAGAGATCTTGTTGGATCAGGTCTATACTTGGCATTGTTTGCTTTTATGGATTCCCGACCCGTTCACCCTTCCTCCCCAGCAAGCATGTTATAAAAGGGGAATAATTAGGGGTTCTCTGAACGGAAATCATACGTTGTGGCCAAAAGGCATCTAGCTGTAAATCACAACTGAATTTGCCAGCTGCCCTTTTAAGTCGGGGAAGAGAGGGGGAGGGTGTTGCACGTGTGTGTTTGTGTTAGGCACAGGGGAATGTACTACCTTGAATTCGCTGCTTCCTTTATGTTTATTGATTTCACCGGCTGTAGACTCCGGCGGAAAGTTCTGGTTGTTCATCCACATCTGGACTTTAGACTTGTTCCAGAACCTGAGTGTTGCATGCACATTTGTTTACAGATCTGACTTATTAGTATACAGACTGTTGGTTCCTTGCTTCTCAGGCATAAGCACTCAGACTTCGTAGGAAACTCCCATTTAGTCGACTCTTGCGACATGCTGCATGGGAAGGCAGTGGGTCTGTTCTTGTTTTTCCCACAATGGGGCACAGGAACCTACTCCGAAAATGTATACATATCTGTCTATACAGCTAGATAGATGGATGGATAGACAGACAGACAGACAGATACATTGTTTAAAAATTTATAAATATAATATTATGTAAATTGCTTGATTTGTAAAGAGTTTTGGGCTGAAAGGGTTAAAAGGTATCCAAAATATAAATAGGCAGAAAAAATGGCTTATATAAAAATGGATCAGTTATAGTGATTCTGGTTTGACACCTGGTACAGAAACATTTTATTTGCTAAACTAAGTTAACTCTCTCCGTCTCATTATGATTAGCTTTGACTTTCCTAAAGAGGTGACTCATTAAAAAAAAAAGGGAGTGAACCATATGTATGCCTTGAGATGTTTCTGTATGTTGTGTTAATGTAGTATATTTTATTTAAATAGACTTTAAAATAAATCAAATTTGGTTCTTTGGTTTGGGCATGATAATTAAAAGTTTAGATAGAGCAGATTAATATGATAACCCATTACAAATGGAAAAAAGTAGGCAAAGTATATTATGTGTCAGCAACTTCCTGTTGTGCTGTTATGCACCACATATAGCTTACCGTCTAGTACTCCATTCCTTTTTAACCTGTGCAATCCTTTCTATATCATGGATGGAATTTAGTTCCTCACCTTTGGCCTCTTTCAGCAACGTTCGCCTTAGGGTCTCTTTTGGATATCGTAAGTCAGATGTTACAACGAAACCTTGTTTACAGGAATTCCAAAAGAAATTGAGTTTGTGTTGACAAAAGTGTAAATTACCGGAGATTACTAACAATAATATGGCCCTGGCCCTACTGGGGCCATACTTTTGTTTTGTGTTAACCAAATGTTCTAAAGCAAGGTTTTACTATATGTATAAACTACAAAACAAATAACGAAAATTGCCACTACTCCTACATTTACTACTTTTGCGATGTAGGCAGGAAGGTCTTTGAGCCTGAGGATTTAAGGCTGCATGGCTAGTGCTGTTGCCAGAGACTTTGCAGGTTAGGGTTTTATTTTTGCCCCCTTCAGACACAAATGTACAACCTTACCAAGGATTTGAACCTGGCTCTCCTATCTGAGAACCCAGCATTCTTATATTTATAGTGGCGGTAAAAGGTAAGGACCCTTTTCTATCCTGCCATTGAGACACCACTAGACCATCACACCAAGTTAAGCCACTAATCAATACTCAAATTATGAAGCATCAGTTACAGTTGATGACATTGTCAGCAGCACAGTCAACAGATGTTGCATTGTCCCTTCGTGTTTAGGTTCTTGTATTCTTGAAAGGTTTTTATCCTTGTGGGATTAACAACCTGGCTTATTCATTGAATAAGGTGAGCAATGACTTGTAAATAGTTGTGAAATATCTTGAGTAACTATCTCCCATTGTATGACAATACTGTTGCAGATGAAAGCATTCTACGAAGAAGGTACAGTCCATGCTAAAACAAGATGCTGGGCTCAAGGCATGGACGGGTGGCGACCTCTGCAGGCGGTGCCCCAGCTCAAGTGGACATTGCTGGCCAGCGGTCAGGCTGTGATGAATGAGACAGACATGGCCACTCTCATTCTCAACATGCTCATTAAGATGACAGAGTACTACCCAAGCAGGTGAGTCCCTGTCGTTGGGTAAAATAAATCCCCAGGGTGGGTTCCAGGACCCCATTTAGGGTGGGAAAGGCGGGAGTGGACCCACTGCCTCTTCTTACGCAAAAAAGATAGTTGCGTATCCTTTACAAGATGTTTATAATTTTTTATTGAATCAGTTGAGTAACTACTGGTTCACTTTTCTCATTGCTTTCTGCACAGTTTATTATATCCTAATTGTCTTTTTCTGTTCAATAAAATGTTACCTGTGAGGTAATCATTTTAAACATTACAATATTCTTCTTCTTTGAATTCACCAGCTGTAAACTACGGCAGAAAGTCATGTTATTTGTTCACTTCTGGACTTCAGTCTTGTTCCAGAAACTGAGTTTTGCATGCACACCTGTTTTACAGTTCTGGCTTATTCATATGCAGACTGCTGGCTCATCACCTCTCAGGCAGGCACACTGACTTCGAAGGAAGCACCCTTAATTAGTCGACTTTCATGTCTTGCTTGTTAAGGGGCGATGTGTCTCTTTCCCCAAAAGAAATGGGGCTCCGGAATGCATGCAGGGAATTACAGGACTTATTATATGGATAAGTTATTTCTGACAGTGTATTAAAAAAAATGCCTTGTCTTTCCGCAGAGATTCTGATGGTGCTATCATTCGACCTCTTCCGCGAATAAAACGGATACTTTCTGATGCTACCTGTCTGCCTCATATCGTGCAGGTAAGAGTAGAAGTGAAGGGCCCATTTCCACACCTTTAGGTGTATTGGAAATATAGTGATAGACCTAAATTTTACAAACCGGTCAATCCGAACTCTAAGGGTGTTGTGGTCAACATCACGTCAGCCACGTTTACTTCCCAGGACTTTACCTGGTACCCATAGGAGTCGACATAGGAGCTAAGGTTGTGAATACAAATTTTTTTTTTACCCTCATGCGAACTTAAACCCAAGACCTTTGGATCCGCAGGTGAGACTCCAGCTGCCACACCATGGTAGCTCCCCTAGGTAAGAGTAATGAATGCCTGAAAGAAAGAAAAACATGGTGCTATCTCCACAATGGAGGTTGGCTGCAATGTATACACTGCAACGCAGGTAATATGATGTGATGGGGCCCAGATCTCTTCCATAGTGCTGATCTCGTACCACTGTCTGAAAACCTCAAGAACGGTCTTTTTCTAAAAAGCCAGCGGTAAAAATCAAAACCCAATAAACCTCGAAGATTGCTTTGTGAAACCATTTCACAAAAGTCTGAGCCCCAAAGCCACATACAATGAACGTGTATGAGAAACAGTTGTCATAGACACCCCCCCCCCCTTTTCCTCAGGATTGCAGTCTGTGGGATAAGCGTCACCAAGATAAGAATGAAACAGGTAAACATCCTGGAAACTCCAGTTTTAACCATGTATAGCACAGTTATATTGGGGCACCATAAAATGGTTACGAAATAACCTGTCGTCCAGTGTGGGAAGGTCTGTGTTTGAGTCATACATAAATACTAAATTTTCATTTTTTAGATCATCTTCCTCGCACAAATGACGTGATCATAAGTGCTCCGATCTTCTCCTGAGTATCTCTCCAAGTGTTTTTTGGCTTACAACTCCTGTTTAATGTAACGATGTGTGGCTCCCGCATAGTTTTCCATTGAATACTGAATCTTATATTATCTTTAGCTAAACTTCAGTAAATATTTTCCGTTATTTAAATATTTGCTGATTTTGGAAAACGTCGGACAGTTTAACTCATGTAATGAAACTGTTAATGGGAATTATAATGAGAATGGAAATTACAATGAGAAGAATATGATGTAAAATTAAATTCTCTCCTAGGCCAGCTGCCAGCCAGGGCTAAGGCCTCATCTGCCCTGCCAAAACATTAAGTTTTCAAGCTGCATTTCCTCTTCCTAAGATAATGCTAGTATCCCCCTCTCCCAGTGCTGTCCTCTGCCCACAGCTTTGGGCACAATGTGGGATGTCAGGTTTGGTATACACTGCTCATCATTCAGTATATTTAATGCAAGTTTGTATCAGAATTCATGATATGTTTCTTTAATGAAAATAAAAGAAGTCTGGAAAAATTATTTGCCTGAAAGAATCATAGACAGTAGATAATGCATTAATTTTTCTAATTTTTTTAGTGATGAATGTGTTTGTCTTCTTTTGGGAACATTGAGTTAGGATTTTGTAAAGCAAATTATGAAAGTGTTTCACTGCAAACCTGATGTTATGAAATTGTTAGCCACATTATGAAAGTGCTTGCCACTGTCTTTGACTATAATGTTTAGTGTTGTAAAATACAAATTGTTTTTAAAACTACTAGTGTTAATTTGTGATGCCATATTGTTTCCATCAGCTGTTGCTGACCTTTGACCCAGTTTTGGTGGAGAAGGTTGCGACCTTGCTGTACCTGGTTATGCAGGATAACCCGGTAGTTTCACGGCTGTATCTGTCTGGGTCATTCTTCTTCATCATGATGTACACAGGCTCCAACGTTCTTCCAGTGGCTCGGTTTCTCAAGTACACACACCTCAAACAGGCATTTCGCTCGGAAGAGGTAAGAACCGTCTAGATTTGATCATGGATGTACTAAATATTAATTTTCAGAAAGAGCATCACACTTGCGGCTTTAGGAGAAATCACAGACTTTTATGAATGTCATAAACTTTGCTCTTTCACTCACAGAAGTTTTAGCAGCAGATATCCAAGAAGGCCAACGAAACAATGAGAAAAACATTAGTGTTTTAGTTTCAGTGTTGGAACAGACACTAACAGGCCATGTTAAAATATCCTGTCATATTTATTTTGTATATTCAGACCAGCTTGAACAAATATTCAGACCATCTTGAACAAATATTCAGGCAAGGTTGAACAAATATTCAGACAAGGTTGAACAAAATATAAAGCTCTAAATGGTCTAGTTTTAAAACCAAGTTAAGAATTTTCAGTTCTAATGTTATTTCAGTTTTAACATGTGCAGGTGAATGCTGGAGAACCCACTAAAGACATGAAACGAAAGTTGAATGCATTCAAAAACAAATGCCTGAGAAAAAATGATTAAAATAAAATGGGATGAATTCAAAAGGAGTGAAGAAATAGATAAATGCAAGCACTGGTATCAACAGTTATAAGACAGAGAAGATGGCGCTACATTGGACAAATAGAAAAATGCCTGTGCAAGCACTGGTATCAACAGTTATAAGACAGAGAAGATGGCGCTGCATTGGACACGTCCTGAGAAGAAACCAGCAGAGAATCACCAGACAGGCATTGAAATAGGAAATAAAAGGATTAAGGAGGCGAGGATGCCCAGAAGAAACCAGAAGAGGCCAAAGCTGCTAGACTGTATTCCATCCATTATATTGATTTGATTGCACAGGATGGAATGAACAGAGATCAGGCATCTGGCTTATGATAAAGAGGAAAGACTTTAGAAAGATTTCCATGCATGATAAGCTACTGGATGATGATGATGATGATGATATAAAGATGATGATGATGGTGATCTGACTTTGATGGTGCCATTTGAGATAAAAACACAGAAATGATAAAATATAACATATTATCTGTAATATAAAGACCTCAGATTCATCTGCTACTTTGATTTTGCAATGATCTGCAGTAATTAACTTATGTTTTGGATTTAACTCCATCGCTTGTGGAAAAATGGCGTAAGGGGGAGGGGGGTGTATTTAGTAATGCGCAGTAGATCCTTCTCACATACTGGGCATCAGAGATATGGCCCTTGACCCTTTTTGGTCACCATCATGCTGACCACTTTTACTTCCCAGGGTAATTTCTGGTACCCATTTCAGGCTGTCAACCTCAGAGCCTCTGCCATTTATATAAATTTGCTCTGATGCATAAACTAAGACACATATTTTTATGCTCCTAAAGTGATTACTTTATTTAACACACACATAATGCTATAGAAAAATTTACAGAATACAATGGATGAAGAAGACACACACAAATAATACAGACGTCATTGTAGATCTGAACATCAAGGAAAGATTGGCTAGTTAACAGCATCTTGTCTCAGAAACTGAGGTATTTTGGCCTTATCAAGCGCCACGGTGGATTGGGGGGTGGGGGGAAGCAGAAGCCGTGGTACTATAAAAAAGGGGCAGGGTCCGACCAACATGAAGATGGTCACAGGATATAAGTGACATCTTGAGTAGGAAAGTATAAAAAGCAGAGAGTTGGCGAGAGACCAAGTTTTTTTTTTTCAGGCAGTCCGTGGTGAGTGCAACATTCTGCAGAGATACCTGCTAAATGATGATGATACATATATAAGATGTTTCCTGTTCTTTTGCCATCACCAGAATGCCACATCAGACATCCTTGCTCGCAGTGTCCTGGGTCCCATTTTGCCAGAGGCTATGGTATGTTACCTGGAGAACTATTCTCCAGAGAAGTTTGCCCAAATTTTCCTTGGAGAGTTTGACACCCCAGAGGCAATCTGGAACAGTGAAATGAGGTAAGAAGAATTGGATAACAATGGATTGCTTATAGACAAGATATAAAATTCAATTTAATCAATTGCATGCTTATTGACAAAGATATTTGTAAAACTGACAAAGAATAGTACATTTAGAAAGTACACTTGAAATATATTAAACTTAAATGATAGGTAATTCTCCAGTCTTTTACAATTAATATATATTCTTATTAGAATTTTGAGAGCATGCATCTTCCCTGTGGCTACGTACGGATGTGAGTCGTGGACTATCTCTCAGTCCTTAAGAAGGAGAATATAGGCTTTTGAGCTGAAATGTTATAGAAAGATTCTCAGAATATCTTGGACATAGAAGATGAGAAATATTGACATCTTAAAAGATCTGAACATCAAGAAAGATTGGCTAATAAACAGCATCCTTTCTCGAAAGCTGAAATATTTTGGTCATATCAAGCTCCACGACGGATTGGAAAAAATTATAGCAGAAGGCATGGTACCAGGAAGGAGGTGCAGGGGCCAGCCGACACGAAGATGGGCACAGGATATAGGTGACTCCTTGAATGTGAAAATGCATGAGGCGGGGGAACTGGCGAGAGAGCGAGTTTCTTTCAGGCAGACTGTGATGAGAGCGACGTTCTGCAGAAGACCTGCTACATGATGATGATGATATATTCTTTACAATTTTTAATAACTATTTTACAAACATAAATATCCAATGTTGAAATATTTGAAATAAAAACTGTATAGATCCCACTTATAACCCAGAGAGGTTGATTGGGATATCTTGATATTTTTTTTTTCTTCTTTAAATTACTACTCCAGTAGTACAAAGAAATTATGAGCTCTTCTGCAATGTTACTATCTTAAACATCTTTATGACACATGCGCTTCCCCGACTTACCAATCAAAGACCCGGTAGGTGTATTGACTATAGAGAAGATCTTTTCACACTTGGCTGACTTCTCCCCCCGTCTGATGAGTAACACTCGTGCCCTGTACTATCTCAAAACCCATCCCGACACAGTGCGGTATCCTCAGACTGGCCAATGAAAGATTCTGGTGCATTTACTATCTCAAACATCTGTGTGACACAGTGCGCTTCCCCGACTGGCCAATCAAAGACCCGGTAGGTGCATTTACTATCTCAGACATCTGTGTGACACAGTGCGCTTCCCCGACTGGCCAATCAAAGACCCGGTAGGTGCATTTACTTTCTCAAACATATGTGTAACACAGTGCGCTTCCCTGACTGGCCAATCAAAGACCCGGTAGGTGCATTTACTATCTCAAACATCTGTGTGACACAGTGCGCTTCCCCGACTGGCCAATCAAAGACCCGGTACGTGCATTTACTACCTCAAACATCTGTGTAACACAGTGGGCTTCCCTGACTGGCCAATCAAAGACCCGGTAGGTGCATTTACTATCTCAAACATCTGTGTGACACAGTGCGCTTCCCTGACTGGCCAATCAAAGACCCGGTAGGTGCATTTACTATCTCAAACATCTGTGTGACACAGTGCGCTTCCCTGACTGGCCAATCAAAGACCCGGTAGGTGCATTTACTATCTCAAACATCTGTGTGACACAGTGCGCTTCCCTGACTGGCCAATCAAAGACCCGGTAGGTGCATTTACTATCTCAAACATCTGTGTAACACAGTGCGCTTCCCTGACTGGCCAATCAAAGACCCGGTTGGTGCATGTACTATCTCAAACATCTGTGTGACACAGTGCGCTTCCCTGACTGGCCAATCAAAGATCTGGTAGGTGCATTTACTATCTCAAACATCTGTGTGACACAGTGCGCTTCCCTGACTGGCCAATCAAAGACCCGGTAGGTGCATTTACTATCTCAAACATCTGTGTGACACAGTGCGCTTCCCCTGACTGGTCAATCAAAGACCCAGTAGGTGCATTTACTATCTCAAACATCTGTGTGACACAGTGCGCTTCCCCGACTGGCCAATCAAAACCCGGTAGGTGCATTGATACACAATAGTTTGGTCATTTGTTAACAGTATTACAATAAAGTGGCACTAGTGAGACATGAGATGTTAGAGAAAGAATGCAGACAAAACCAGCAGAGATCGTTTGAGAAAAAAAAGAGTTTATTGCATACTACTGTAGTATGCACCTGACGACATACAGCGAAATTGTGCAGTCTATTGTTTGCGTCTTCTTTGTTCAAATTTAGAAGAACTGTTGAACCAGTGCCCATTATTAAATATTTTTAGAAATAGAGACTTAAAGACGCAGGCATTCAACCACAGTGTTGTCATCAAGAGCTCACAGCATGGAAATTGAAACTTAAAGTTTTGTTTGCATTTCCATTTCACCGATATGGCTTTTTTTTTAAACAGACTGCTGGTTTTCTGCCTCCCAGGCAGATGCACTCTGACTTCAAAGAAAATATCTGGGTCTGGAACACACACAAATGAATTCTTATACTAAAGCTGTATCTTAGCAGCATCCACATAATTTTTTCAATAATCTCTTGACTGTCTATGATTCCCTTCTGAAAGATATAATCAAATATCACAGTAAACTAATCCAGTGCAACCACGACTCTTTTATGAAAAAAAATTGTCGATGTCTTAAAAAATTTTTTTTTGTATATTTGGTTTACTTGTTAATTAAATAGAAAGAAGGGGGAAAAAAGAGAATAATTTCACTCTCTTTCTGATTTCAGATCAAATTATTGAAAGATATTCTGGATGCTTGGAAAAAAGAGGTAGAAAAGAAGCCACCAACCTATGTCAATTGACGAAGCTTATGAAGTACTGAATCTGTCCAAGGGAATTGGGGGGTAAGGAAGGAAAGCATATTGTATTCTAAGTATGGCAGATGTATTTACACACATACACACACACACACACACACACACACACACACACACACACACACACACACACAGATATACATATGTATGTGTGTGTATACATATATATGTATATATACAGATTGTGAGATGTATGCTGTAATTTAACACCCTGCCATTGTATGACTGAAGGTTACATATTAGAGTTTATGAATGCTGTTTCATATTTCTAGCAGATCGATTTCATTTCAGTTAGAGATGGTTTGGCTGCAGACTGCTTTGCATTGCTTTCAACACTTGTATAAGCATTGAGCCATTCATACTGATCACCCCTCACCTCATGTATTTGAAAACCAATGCGTCACTTTTTGACTGTATTACTAGGCAGTGTTGTTTGTTCATTAGTTTACCATGGACCTCCTGAACGGTTGACTCATTCAGTTGTTAAGTAAGAATCAGTGCCTATGGTCTTCTACCAGAATACCTGCAGCAGGAAAAGATATTCAAAAACCTGTTCATTTGCTGGTTTTTTTCTTCGGTCATCTTACGCTTAGCATTCTGTGAAGTTTGTATTTCTTCTATTCCTTCTATTGTATTATATATTAACAATATTACTTTTTTTTTTTTGCGACTATATTTTTTTTTAGCCATTGTTTTCATTCACTCTCCATCACATTTTTTTTAAAACGTTGCTCATGTCACCCCTTGGAGATCTAAATACTCTCCTCTTTGTAACCTTTGTGTAGTTCACTTCATATTTGACAAAGGCTGCCAAATAGTGGACAGTAGCTACCACTAACATACTTTCATGTACAGAATAGTGGACAGTAGGTACCACTAACATACTTTCATGTACAGAATAGTGGACAGTAGGTACCACTAACATACTTTCATGTACAGAATAGTGGACAGTAGGTACCACTAACATACTTTCATGTACAGAATAGTGGACAGTAGGTACCACTAACATACTTTCATGTACAGAATAGTGGACAGTAGGTACCACTAACATACTTTCATGTACAGAATAGTGGACAGTAGGTACCACTAACATACTTTCATGTACAGAATAGTGGACAGTAGGTACCACTAACATACTTTCATGTACAGAATAGTGGACAGTAGGTACCACTAACATACTTTCATGTACATAATAGTCGACAGTGGACAGTAGGTACCACTAACATACTTTCATGTACATAATAGTCGACAGTGGACAGTAGGTACCACTAACATACTTTCATGTACATAATAGTCGACAGTGGACAGTAGGTACCACTTACATACTTTCATGTACAGAATAGTGGACATTAGTTACCAATAACATACTTTTATGTACAAAACAGTTGAAAATAGTTACCATTAACATACTTTTATGTACAGAACAGTTTAAAATAGTTACCATTAACATACTTTTATGTACAGAACAGTTGAAAATAGTTACCACTAACATACTTTAATGTACAGAATAGTGGACAATAGTTACCAATAACATAATTTTATGTACAGAACAGTTGAAAATAGTTACCATTAACATACTCTTATGTACAGAACAGTTGAAAATAGTTACCATTAACATACTTTTATGTACAGAATAGTGGACAATAGTTACCAGTAACATACTTTCATGTACAGAATAGTGGACAATAGTTACCAATAACATACTTTTATGTACAAAACAGTTGAAAATAGTTACCATTAACATACTTTTATGTACAGAACAGTTGAAAATAGTTACCATTAACATACTTTTATGTACAGAACAGTTGAAAATAGTTACCATTAACATACTTTCATGTACAGAATAGTGGACAATAGTTACCAGTAACATACTTTTATGTACAGATCAGTTGAAAATAGTTACCTATAACATACTTTTATGTACAGAACAGCTGAAAATAATTACCATTAACATACTTTTATGTGCAGAACAGTTGAAAATAGTTACCATTAACATACTTTTATGTGCAGAATAGTGGACAATAGTTACCAATAACATACTTTTATGTACAGAATAGTGGACAACAGTTACCAATAACATACTTTTATGTACAGAATAGTGGACAATAGTTACCACTGACATACTTTCATGTTAAGAAACATTTTGGCTTTTGTGACTGGTTAGAAACATTATTATGCAGGATATATAGGTCATAACAAATGTTTATTGATTTATCTTTACTTGGAAGGAAATTGCTGCAAAAAGCAGAACTGAGTACTCACCTTCGAGTGCCCTAATGGTTTTGCACTCTTCTTCTTCTCCTCCTCCTCCTCCTCCTTCTTTCTTCTTCTTCTTCTTCTTCTTTTTCTTCTTCTTCTTCTTCTTCTTTTTCTTCTTCTTCTTCTTCTTCTTCTTCTTCTTCTTCTTCTTCTTCTTCTTCTTCTTCTTCTTCTTCTTCTTCTTCTTCCTTCTTCTTCTTCTTCTCCTCCTCCTCCTCTAGCTCTTCTTCTTCTTCTTCTTCTTCTTCTTCTTCTTCTTCTTCTTCTTCTTCTTCTTCTTCTTCTTCTTCTTCTTCTTCTTCTTCCTCCTTCTCCTCCTCTTCTTCTTCTTCTTCTTCTTCTTCTTATTCTTTTTCTTCTTTCTTCTTCTTCTTCATCCTCCTCCTCCTCATCTTCTTCTTCTTCTTCTTCTTTGTGTTCACTGTCTGTCCTCCAGCGGTTTTCTGGTTGTTTATCCACTTCTGAACTCTGGTCCTGTTCCACAACCTGAATGTTGTGTGCACATCTGTTTTGTATGCAGACTGTTGCTTCCTTGCCTCTCAGGCAGATACACTCCAACTTCAAAGGAAGGTCCCAAATGGTCAACTCCTACGATATGCTTTTGGGGTAGGCAGTGGGTCTGTTTTTGTTTTTCCCCACAGAACCCACTCAGAGTGTTTTTGCAGTATTTCACCATGCGTCCATCTGCTGTGTGATAACATAATGTTGTTTGTCTTCCTGCAGACATGACGAAGCCAAGATTCGTAAAGCATATTTTAAAATGGCTCGAGATTATCACCCGGACAAGAATCCAGAGGGAAGGGTAAGTCCGACACTCGAGTTAGTTGTGTATCCTCTACAGCAGACTGGTGACCCTTTGCTTGCATACCTGTGGCCCACACAGACAAAATAGTCTGCAAAATTGTTTTATTAAATGGCTGCAATTAGTCGTCATATGTGGTCCTTGTGACGACATAATTTGACTTATACGCCATGACATGCCTGCTTTACAGAATGTTGCAGAATTAACCCCAGCATTTGTTATTTGCTGTTTGTGATTTTACTAGCAATTGTTTCTTTCAGTAGTTTGCCATTGCTTCCTGAACGATCGACTTTAGATACCACTGTCAAAACTAATGCAAATTGGTCTGCTCTGCTAACAAATCGCCCGCAGCTGGGATCAAGCCTGGAATTATGAAGCATGTTTGCAAAAAACCTAAACCGCAGATGCAGACAGAATGTGTGTCAATACAGTTTTTTTTTTAAATTGTAACAGACTACTCTAAACAGTCCCTGATGACTGTTTAAAGTAGAAACAGACTGACAGCACATTGGCTGAGATAATGGATTTTTGAAATTATTGTAATCATCAAGGCAGACACAACACACAAACATGTACACATAACACATAAACATACACACATGCATCCAAACATTCATACATAGATGTCCAAACACTTGAGCATATGCAAATATATAGATACACATGTACAGGTGAGCATGTACTCATATTCATATGCACACAAAAAGGAACAAAGTCATGCACTGACAGACTTGTATGCACACACAGATACACACAAGATACATATGCAGAAACAGATACACACAAGATACATATGCAGAAACAGATACATACAAGATACATATGCAGAAACAGATACACACAAGATACATATGCAGAAACAGATACATACAAGATACATATGCAGAAACAGATACACATAAGATACATATGCAGAAACAGATACACACAAGATACATATGCAGAAACAGATACACACAAGATACATATGCAGAAACAGATACACATAAGATACATATGCATAAACAGATACACACAAGATTCAAATGCAGAAACAAATACACACAAGATACATATGCAGAATCAGATACATACAAGATACATATGCAGAAACAGATACACACAAGATACATATGCAGAAACAGATAAACACAAGATACATATGCAGAAACAGATACACATAAGATACATATATGTACCTACTTGCACACAAAGATACAGGTACACACAAGCACATTTTCTACAGAAGTTGAGTAAGCCATGCAGTGTCTTTTATATTTATACAATAATTTAAAAAACTCTTAGATCAAGAAAATGCCTTCAACAGGACCAACAGGCAGCTACTTTGGAAAACACTTGAGAGAGTATGGAGTTAGTGAGCATCTAATAAATATAATGTTTAAATTAGAACAGCCAGGGTGAAATGAAACCAGATACCAGAATAATAAGTTCTATTTACAGTCTAGAGTCATAAGGGATGAGTTCCATCCCCACTGCAGAGATAGCTAGATGATCGTAAGAAAGCAGCAAAAGCGCAAAACATGAAAGTCAACATTGGAGAAACAAAACTACCGAAGTTATGACCATTACAAGAACAGAACAACCAGTTAAGATATGCAAAGAAAACTCAACAACTGAAGCAAGAAAAAGACTTCAGATATCTAGAGAAGCATATCATACAGTGAGAAAACGGAATCAAACATGTAATAATTGACACCAAAGTAGCACTATTCGTACAGTATTTTTACTACTTTTGTGTTACCAAAACTAACCAATAACATAACCCCTCCCCAGCCAGTATGGGGAAACCTGACTGCAGTTAAGTTAAAACCTCGACTAATACTAAGACTATCCGAGGTCATAAAATCCAGCATCTGTGTAGCATGTAACAAGGCTTGTACCCAAAGCCTCTTCAAAACCTGACACTGAAAGGCAGAATAGGCGTGAAGAAGCAGAAATAGAAGAAGAAGAAGAAGAAGAATAGAAATGTCATCTTCTCTTTTTCATAACTCACACTGTCATACAATCATATTTCATTTGCTGTGATTTGCGCATTTATTTAATAAACATCTGCCCTTTCCATGCAGGAAATGTTTGAGCAAGTGAACAAAGCTTATGAATTCCTGTGCAGTAAGACCAAGGTTAAAGATGGACCGGATCCTCAGAATATAGTCCTTATACTGAAAGCCCAGAGTATCCTCTTCAGTCGCTACAAAGAAGGTAAAAATAGTAAATGTTTGAATCCAAAAAGTTAAAACAATATCACTATGAGATGGGAGGAGGAAAAACTAACAATTTGAATATAAAGAGTTACTGTTATTCTCCTTAGTCGATACAAGGAAGGTAACAGTAGTCAATGTTTAAATCCAAAAAGTTGGAACAATGTTACTATGAGAGGGAAGAAGTAAAACTAACAGTTTGAATACAATGAGTTAAGGTCAACAGCTGTTGTTGGTAGGAAAGAGTATGAAATGTGTACTGACTTGAATGAATGTGTCAAGAATTGACATCACTGCACACAGGACATCCCCACGCTTGCTGTCTCCTTCCCCCGTAGCCAACAAAGAGTTAAAATGCTAATACTACCAGCTGCAACCTAATTAAAAGTCCACCTGCATTTCTCTTCAGTGTTGATTCTCTTCCAGAGCCTCTCCCCCCGCCCATCCCCTTCCCCCAGGTTAAATTAGTCTTTCAGTGTATTGGTTCTCTGTCTCTTCTATTGCACTGTCCCGTTGATCCCAGAGAGCCTTTGCTAAGTCCACTTTGTCATAAAGTAGCTCACCCTGCTTAGTGGCAGCAGCCAGTCTACCAGCCTGCTCATTACCCTGCACACCCAGTTGTCGTATACAGAAAATCTCTGTTATGTTCTTGATCTGAGTCTTATCAAGTGAGGCAAGCTACTCTGCGCACAGAACGCCAGTTTCAGTTTTCTGAAGCAGGCTGTGTGTCTCTTTAGACTAGCCATCAATGAACATATGATAAGTTCCGTAGTACCAAAAGAGTTAAAGTATGGAAATGAGTTCTCTCTGATAACTGGCGATATTCTTCCCAGAGCTGCAGCCATACAAGTATGCAGGCTACCCCATGCTCATTAAGACCATTCAGATGGAGACCAATGATGACCAGTTGTTCAGCAAGTCAGCACCACTCCTGTCTGCAGCTGCAGAGCTGGCATATCACACGGTCAACTGCTCTGCTCTAAATGCTGAAGAGCTCCGCAGGGAGAATGGTATTCAGGTTGGTATACTGTAGTTGTTTCCTATAGCTGACTTTTTAAAAATAAATTTAAACCTTGTTTCACAGGTTAACCCATCCTTAAATGAGTACCAGGTAAAGACATGGGAAGTAAAGGCTGAGAATCTCCGTTTTCAAGTTGTTGGCCCCTGAGTAAACTTTATTGAATCGCCCTACCCTGCATGGACCAGGAGAGAAGTCTTGTTCAATTTAAACCTCATTCCTGCATGCTAATAACTCATAAAATGTTTAAGCAAGGTTGATCTTGGAAATAAATACTCAAAACATGTATGACATCTTCTGTACCAATCTTCCCATGTGAGTTCTAGGGCCCTAATGTGGGGAAAAATAACTGAACAGACCCATAAGCATATAGTAAGAGTCAACTAAGTTGGCGCTTCCTTCGAAGTTGGAGTGCATCTGCCTGAAAGGCATGGAACCAACAGTTTGCATACTTGTGACTCAGATCTGTCAAATGAATGTGCAAGGAACATTCAGGTTCTAGAAGTGCATGAACAACTAGAACTTTCTGTCGGAGTTTACAGCTGGTGAACGTGAAGAAGAAGAAGAAGAAGACATACCATTCAGTCAGTAAAAAATATAAAGATAAAGACTTTGGTCAAAATGTTTTGTTGTATTGGTGCGCCTCTTTTCCATAATTTCCATTGAGCTTTCTAGTCATGGTTTCTGTTATATTTAGTACTTCAGCAGAAATATAGATGTAACATCCTACTTCAAATATATGTGAAATCACATGGTCTGGCTTTACGTTTCAAAAAGTCTGTAAACAAACGTCTATAGCATATATATATGATTCTAATGTCTACTTCCTTCCAATTATTTTCCCTCTGTTTATATTCCTAGTCTCTTATCTTTCTCCCTTTAATTGTCCTTACGTTATCTCTTTGTCTGTCTCTCCCATATGGGTTCTAGTGCCCTATTTTGAGCCAGAAAAGAATAGACCATTGCTACCTTAACGAGCATGCCATAATAAAAGTCGGCTGATAGGTTAGGAACCAACAGTCTGCATACAAAAAAGCCAGATCTGTAAAATGGATGTGCATTCAAAACTCAAGTCCTGGAACAAGACCAGAGTCCAGAAGTGGATGAACAACCAGAACTTTCTGCCAGAGATCACAGTCAGTGAATGTGAAGAAGAAGAAGAATAACGCTGTTTCCCTCTTACCTTCTCCTTCTTTCACTTTATAATTTTTCTTTTTATTGTTTATTCTTTTATCTACTACCACTTTATCTTCATATTTTTTGTATCTTCTCTACCATATTTCCCTAATAACTTTAGATATATTTGTTTGTATACATTCTTTACCATGTTGAATGGCTCTTATTTGTTTTCGGTCATGAAGATACTTCAAGATGCTTTCTCAAGATGTGTCAGCGTACTCAGCCAGTCCAGCAAGCAGGATGATGTTGCTGTCAATGTAAGAACTTCTTTCTTGTTTTATTCTGTATTTTTTCCATTCTTAAGATAGAGTGGCCACATAGAATTTAAAGAAACAAATTTACTGAAATAATACAACATCATTGGAATAAATGAAGTTTGAGGTTTGAACAACGGATCAACATTAGGGCACACAGGTAGTAACCCATAAGTGCTCCGTTCTTTTTCTAACTCAAGTCTGAGTCCGAAGAAGCTCAGCACAGTGCACAGGCTCTGGAGCACCGGCGAGGATCCTGTAATACTTTGGGTAGATTTTTTAACTCCAAATCTTGCCCGGGCAGTGCTGTTAGGCAACTCTTTTCCATTTCCAACTGCCAAGGGATTTTTGTGCACAACAATGCACATGGCCGTCCGATCTCACTCCCCAGAGACCAGGGTAAATTACTAGAAGTCCAAGTCCACGTGAAAAAATCCCTGCTCTTACCAGGGATTGAACCCGGAACCTCTAGCACTCGAGGCAGACACCATGCCTCGAGACCACTAACCATTTGATCCTACAGAGCCTTCACACCATCCGCTTTATCATACAGTAGCTCACTGCCCAGAGGAGCGGCAGTGGCCAATCTATTCAGCCTGCTCATTACCCTGCACACCTTAATATCTTGGAGAGAAAATCCATAATATTTTTTTGATCTGGGTCTTATCAAGTGATGCAAGCCACTCTGCACGCAGGACACCAGTTTCTGAAGCATTCTCTGTGAGTCTGCTACAATCACATGTCAGGCTGTGCTTTTCTCAAGCCATCAGAAAGCTGCCGTTACTGGCTCCACCTCCATTTTCAGACTGGATGTAGTGACGATTTACCCAAGGCTCTCTCTGTTTTCAAGCAGTGTCCATTCACTTTGCAGTAATCTTCAAGCAGTGTCCATTCACTTTGCAGTAATCTTCAAGCAGTGTCCATTCACTTTGCAGTAATCTTCAAGCAGTGTCCATTCACTTTGCAGTAATCTTCAAGCAGTGTCCATTCACTTTGCAGTAATCTTCATGCAGTGTCCATTCACTTTGCAGTAATCTTCTAGCAGTGTCCATTCAGTTTGCAGTAATCTTCAAGCAGTGTCCATTCACTTTGCAGTAATTTTCAAGCAGTGTCCATTCACTTTGCAGTAATTTTCAAGCAGTGTCCATTCACTTTGCAGTAATCTTCAAGCAGTGTCCATTCACTTTGCAGTAATCTTCAAGCAGTGTCCATTCACGTTGCAGTAATCTTCAAGCAGTGTCCATTCACTTTGCAGTAATCTTCAAGCAGTGTCCATTCACTTTGCAGTAATCTTCAAGCGGTGTCCATTCACTTTGCAGTAATCTTCAAGCAGTGTCCATTCACTTTGCAGTAATCTTCAAGCAGTGTCCATTCACGTTGCAGTAATCTTCAAGCAGTGTCCATTCACTTTGCAGTAATCTTCAAGCAGTGTCCATTCACTTTGCAGTAATCTTCAAGCAGTGTCCATTCACGTTGCAGTAATCTTCAAGCAGTGTCCATTCACTTTGCAGTAATCTTCAAGCAGTGTCCATTCACTTTGCAGTAATCTTCAAGCGGTGTCCATTCACTTTGCAGTAATCTTCAAGCAGTGTCCATTCACTTTGCAGTAATCTTCAAGCAGTGTCCATTCACGTTGCAGTAATCTTCAAGCAGTGTCCATTCACTTTGTAGTAATCTTCAAGCAGTGTCCATTCACTTTGCAGTAATCTTCAAGCAGTGTCCATTCACGTTGCAGTAATCTTCAAGCAGTGTCCATTCACTTTGCACTAATCTTCAAGCAGTGTCCATTCACTTTGCAGTAATCTTCAAGCAGTGTCCATTCACTTTGCAGTAATCTTCAAGCAGTGTCCATTCACTTTGCAGTAATTTTCAAGCAGTGTCCATTCACTTTGCAGTAATTTTCAAGCAGTGTCCATTCACTTTGCAGTAATCTTCAAGCAGTGTCCATTCACTTTGCAGTAATTTTCAAGCAGTGTCCATTCACTTTGCAGTAATCTTCAAGCAGTGTCCATTCACTTTGCAGTAATCACTGAAGATAGCAGGAAGTGAAAACAAAGCCCAGGTATAGTCAGTCAGTCAGATACTGTCTCCACATTGAAGGTTGGCTGCAATAGACCCCCAACAGGCTTTTTCTCTAATCCTGGTTTTTGACTGCTGCCCATCCATCTCTTGATGTTGTCCTTCCACTTGTATCATTGCCTACCTCTTGCTCAGTTACAGTAAAGGAAAATTTAAAGCTGAGGAAACTAATGAAAAAAGAAGCAGAAACTTTGTGAGAAAAAAAAAATGAATGCCTTAACAGTCAAGCAAGGCACAGGAGTTCCCTTTATCCTACCTTCTTTATTTGTAGGCCAGTAAACCAAAACTGTGTGTGTGTGTGCGTGTGTGCATGCGTGTGTTCTTTGGCCTATCCTCTCTGTTTTGTAAACCAGTGAACTGTGACTTCTTTTGCTCTTGTCTACCTTCTCTGTATATGCCCGCTCCACAGTTCAGATTGTTTGCAATGGATGTCTAACATACTCTGTCTTTGACCCTGGATTACACTCTCTCACACTGCTATTCATCCATCTCTTGATGTTATCCTCCCACTTGTATCACTGTCTATCTCTTGCTCACTTGCCTTCAACTTTACCTTTCATTATTTTGAAGTAAATTTACTGCAGTTACAATTTTGTAGATTTGTGATATGTTTTTGTTCGGTTTACTCAGGTGTGTACCTACATTGCCAAATGTTACGCTGTGTCAGCCCAGTTTGAAGGATGCAGGGAAAAAATACAGGAACATTCGGCCATCATCAAGGATTTGTGCAGGATTTTGTACTATAAGGTTAGTATAACTTCCCAACACTCAACAGGCAAGCCAGACTGTAATCAACTGCTACTGGTGCCATGAAGGATTTATGTAGGATTTTGTACTGTAAGGTTAGTATAACTTCTCAACACTCCGAGTAAAGGCAAGATGGACACACAATCAACTGCTACTGTTGCCATCAAGGATTTGTGTAGGATTTTGTACTGTAAGGTTAGTATAACTTCCCAACTCTCAAAAGCAAGCCAGACTATTATCAACTGTTACTGTTGCCATCAAGGATTTGTGTAGGATTTTGTACTGTAAGGTTAGTATAACTTCCCAACACTCTGAGTAAAGGCAAGACGGACATATAATAAACTGTTACTGGTACCATTGGAAGGGCATCTGAGCACTGGCTGCTGAAGAGGGGGACTCAGTTGTTGGGGGGATGTCCCAAGTGCTTTAATGTTGGCTCTTAACTCATCTTAATACAACCCCAAGTGGAAGCCATGGTGGCATGGTGGCTAGATGCTTGCCTGAATATCTTGAATTTGAATCCAGGTCAGGAAAGATTCTTATTAAACCCCTACTGTGGCTCCCAGGTCAACTCAGCCTGAATTGGGTACCATTTGGGTACCGGAAAATGACCTGGGAAGTAAAGGCAGCAGACATGATGTCACCCGTCAAGGGCCAGCTGGTCTATAAAATTGTAGGTCTGACATCATAAGCCTGATGTGCCAGTAGGCATAGCTAAATACATAGCATTTATGTGCTGCATGTAAAGACGCAGCGTTCACGCTTGTTTGTGTTTGTTATTTTGTGAAGCTGATCTACTTTTCTTTCCATTTTATATCTTTCCTTGATGTAGCATGGAAGGAGTCCTTTACTTGGTTAGTTTCTTATTATACTTATCCTAAGATGAGGAAATGCAGCCTGAAAACTTAATGTTATGGAAGGGCAGACCAGGTCCTCAAACTTAACTAGCAGCTGGCTTAGAAGGGAATCGCAACAGGCGGACAGACTTAGCTCCAGCATCTTCTCCATCTGCTTTGTTCCAAACCTGCTGGTATTACCTTTCCTTTGGAGGCTTAGAGAAGGATCATGATTCATGGGCAACATGTGGTCTTTTCAATACTGCCCAGGCTTTGTGCTGTGGAGGAAGAGGAGTCTTGCTAGTCAAACAAGACAAAAAAACTTAACCTTTTTACCTTGAAGACCATCATCACGCTCTAGTAAGTATGGCTATGGTCTCTTGACTGATATGTCCATTGACCCACACACAAAAAAGCCATGGCAAACTACGTTCTTAAGACCTTCTGGCAACCATCAAGCCTCTGAACTGCTGCAGCTGCTGTTTTATGTTACAGCTTTCTCCTGGTATAGAGCCACTGCTCTCTAAGAAGCATGTTGTAAGAGTCGACAATTAGCAGTGTTTCCTTCTAGGTCGGAATATATCTTCACGAAAGGTGAGCTACCAACAGTTTACATACAAATAAGTTTGATCTGTAAAACAGATGTGCACGCAGCACTTACATTCATGGAACAAGACTATAGTCTGGAAGTGAATGAACACCAGAACTTTCTGCCAGAGTTTACAGCCAGTGAATGTGGAGTAGAAGAGAAAGAAGAAGAAGCAGAAGAAGACATAACAGCTACATTGAACAGTTTAGACCTAACAGTTCATTGAGGCAGTGTTATTAGCTGTCTTTTTTTCTTAGATATCCATCCATTTTGATATTTCAGCAATGAAGCTAAATGCAGCATATCTTTATTATATGTTTGTTGTTTTTCCAGAATCTTCCCAAACTGTGTGCTGTTGTTTGTGAGTGTGTCAGCGCTTTCTGTGTAGATTTCTGGCTGCAGACTAACTTGTTCCAGTCTGGGGTGCTCTGGCACTTGTTACTGTACCTCTTCAATTATGACTACACTTTGGAGGAGGGCGGCGTGGAGAAAAGTCAGGAGAGCAACCAACAGGTATGTCTGTGAAATATTTATTATTCAAAGTGACGCAGACAAAAACTGAATCATTTGGGCTCCGTCAGCAGATTAGAAATTATGTATATTTCCCCTAGATTTATTACAGTTAGTTTACTGGGGTTAGAAAATTGAGAGATAAATTAAGCTAATCCTTTTGCTTATATTTAATATTAGCTACTGTTGGTAATGTTTATTATTGCTTGTTAACTCTTTGAGTCCCAGGGGGTTTAGCATCACAGGCCCAGAGGGTTTAGCATCACAGGCCCAGGGGGTTTAGCATCACAGGCCCAGGGGGTTTAGCATCACAGGCCCAGGGGGTTTAGCATCACAGGCCCAGGGGGTTTAGCATCACAGGCCCAGAGGGGTAGTAAAGAAAGTCATAAAATCGGCGCATCATGCGTTCATTGGGCTTCTAGGTAGGAACCTATGAACGTATGATGCGTTCCTTGGGACTCAAAGAGTTAACAGATGTATGAAAGAATGGAGTTTAGAAGGGCAGACTGTTAGATGAGCCTGTGTGCTCAGTTCTCAATCTTTTGAAAATATAATTTGTTTGTACATTTGTTCTTTGGATTCAAAGCCAGGAAAGGCCTGTTCTGTGGTTTTCTGAATATGGATGGGATTTTTAGCTAGATTTATTTCTGCTTTATTTTACAATACTTAGGGAAATGATGTTTTACAACAATACATAGTAAAGTGATGTTTTACATTAGTACATAGGGAAATAGTGTTTTACAACAGTACGTAGAGAAATTGCATTTTATAACAGTACACAGAGAAATTATGTTTTCCTATACAGAGGGAAATAGTGTCTGTGTCTATGGTTTTTGTTAGTTAAAGTATTAACTTTGTTTTTTTTTTTTGTATCTTCACATCTGTAGTAAAGAAAATCCCCTTTCCACGACTTCAGGCGTATAAGACTAAACCAACATTTTACAGTTCAGTCGGCACTTGCTGGATGATGTAGTCAACATCACATCGGCTGCCTTTACTTCCCATGACACTTTCTGGCACTCATTTATAGCTGGGTTGACCTAGGAGCCATTTTTTTTTTAAGTATGGCTCCGTTCGGATTTGAACCCACCACTTTTGGACGCTCAGATGAGCATCTAGTCTCTATACCACTGTGGCTTCTTATATTTGAAATAAACTAGTTAAATACGCTGTCTGGAGGTGACAGGTTCAATTGCCGGCACGGTAACTATAGCTTTTTATGTTGTCTAGTGTGTTCTTCTATCTTTCTACTTCTTTCTATGAGTGCCAATCAATACACTTTCTGTTACTTGATTAATTCATAATATTTAACGGCCTCAAAGGTTCCCCCTCTGTTTATTTATAGTTATATAATATAGTTTACTATTATTTTTCTGATATTTAGCAAAACAAGTTCTTGTGTAATATAGAGTTAACAGTAAGCAGATACTGAGATCAGAGTGTAAAGGGTAAGGTCTTCACATATTTAGGCCACAACATTCACAGTCCAGCCATTAAATGATTAAACTGATAGTATTATTGTTAAGATAGAAATGCTATCCTTGAAGCATAATATGTCATCCAAACAGGCAGCATTTATCTATAATCTGACAAAATTGTAACGCTGCCAGATCAGCAGACAACAAGTAACCCACCCTTGTGTTTAGCAAGTGAGAGTTGCGTGGTTATGTATGCAGCATGGAGCAAAGAGTGAACATTGAATTATGTTTACATTAGGCAAAGTGATATTGAGACAGCTGAATTGATGGTATCGGTTTCTAGGGATCACTGTTTATGAAATTCAATAGTAAATTTGTCTGCCATTATACTCACAGTTAGACATTAGTCTTTGTGTATCCCTTCTCTGATTTTGACAATGAGTTTATCATAATGAAAAGAAATTGGACATCCCAGCCTAGCTTCATCTTCAGTCCTTTCCATATCAATTTTTGTGAATACCATCTGATGCATGAGATAAAAGTTGATCCCATAAAATTGTCTAAAATTTAACTGTGTCAACAGCACTTGTTTTGAGTATAAAACATTTAAAAATTTGCTTTTCGCTGTAAATTAAACAAAGCAACTTTCACTAGCTAAACAAAATGACGGGTTATTTGTTTTTAACTGAACAGGCAGCATTGAAATTTTGCAAAATCATAAGTAAGTATCGCCTGTTTGGATGACATACTTTACTTCATTTATGCCATTTCTTTGGGAGTCGCCGTGGGAGAACGGCTAGACGCTCACCGCGGATCAGAAGGTCGTGGGTTCGCTCCCTGGTGGAGCTGGACTTTTAAAAAAATGACCTTGGCTCCCAGGTCTACCCAGCCTTGAGTGGGTACCAGGTGCAGTCCCGGGAAGTAAAGGCAGCCGGCGTGATGCTAACCACATCACACATCTTATGCTGATTGGTTTATAAAATATAGGTCTAGCACTATATGCCCTATACACCTAATGGCGTGGAAAAGGGTCCTTTACTTATTTACTTTATGCCATTTCTTTCTTGGCGATAACAAAAACAGTCTCATTCTTTAATTGTCAGACTGTGTATATGGTGGGGTAGCCAGTTTCCTGCCTCATCACGTTTCCTTCTGCATGCAAAATCCAGAAAATGACAATTGTGTGGTGCTTATTTTTATGAGGCTGGTTGGACCGCAGAACTAAACTGGTTGGATCCCAGAACTACACTTGTTTTATCCTAGAACTGCACTGGTTGGACCTTAGAACTACACTGGTTGGACCCCAGAACTGCACCGTTAAAAAACCAGAACTGCCCTGTTTGGAAAATAGAATTGTGCTTAAATCGAGATTTACTGGGTCCACTTTTTTTTTTTTTTAACTTGTAAGCACACATTTTTTTTTTTTTTTTTTTCAATGTGCAAGCACACCAACAACTATGCCACAGTAGCTTCCATAGTAGTCTTGTATTGCTTGTTTTTGCTTCTGAAGTTTATTACTGCACAGTTTTTCGTGTCTTTGTAACAGCTTATGCTCTTGATTGTGCATCCTGTAATGCTATTGATTGAGCCTCCTGTAGGCTTTGTGCATATTTCTGTGAATTATAGTCTTCAAAATCAGGAAATGAAGACTGTCTGACTGCCAATTTAGTCACAGAGCCTTGAACATGTGAAGATCTAGTACAGCACACCCTCAGCTTACTGTTTAGTATCATAAAATTGTTTAGAATTATCACGTGATTTCTTTTTGTGTGTGTTTTTTTGTTGTTGTTCAGGAAGTTGCAAACTACCTGGCAAAGATGAGTGTTGTAGCCAGCGGGAGATTGGCAGGCTTCTATAGCAGCGAGAATGAGCTGACCACGCCTGATAATCCGTCAGTCAAGAAGTCTTTATACTCTCTGCTGACACCTTACCTGGCAAGAAAGCTAACCAATGAAAGCCCAGTTGAGGTAAGACCATCATGTTTTACATTGATATAATCCTAGGTTCATACAGACCAATTCTATTTCAGTCCTTTTTTCTATACTTGCCAGCTTTGAGAATCAGTGTTTTTTGTGTGTGTTTTTTCTCTCACTCATTTGTCTTAAAGAGGGCATACAAGAAATGTATACGGGATTCTATTGTTTAAGAATGTTTACAGTATTTATCCTCAGCGTTTTCAAATCTGTCTTTAAAGGTAAAGACAGTAGTTGAAGTAAGTCCCAGAAAAACTAGCATCTCATTGTGTGTTTGTTTACAACTGCTTACATTATTTACATTATTCCTAATCTCAGCTGGGAACTGCTGTAAGGTAGTGGTTAGACGCTAGCCTGTGGATCAGAATGTTGTGGGTTTGGGTCCTCATGGGCACAAACTATTTTTTTTTTTAAATAAATGACCTCTCCTCTCAGTAACCCAACATTGAGTGGGTACCAGGTATAGTCCTAGGAAGTAAAGGTGTCAGGTGGGGTGTTCGCCACATCGTCTGTCGAGTGCTGATTGGCCTAAAAAATATTGGTCAAGCTCTGTATGCCCAGTACATCAAGCCCTATATGCCCATCTAAAGATGTGGAAAAGAATGCTTTACTTTTTCTGAACTCCTAGTGCCACATCAAGCTGTTACACTGAAACATACTGCTCCAGTTATGACTTTAACTCCTTCTTTCTCAGAATAATAAAACTGTTGGATGTCCCATAATATCTGGTAGGATGTCCCATAATGTCTGGTAGGATGTCGCGTAATGTCTGGTAGGATGTCCCGTAATGTCTGGTAGGATGTCCCGTAATGTCTGGTAGGATGTCCCGTAATGTCTGGTAGGATGTCCCGTAATGTCTGGTAGGATGTCCCGTAATGTCTGGAAGATTGTCCTGTAATGTCTGTTAGGATGTCTCATAATGTCTGTTTGGATATCCCGTAATGTCTGGTAGGATATCCCGTATTGTCTGGTAGGATGTCCCTTATTGTCTGGTAGGATATCCCATAATGTCTGGTAGGATGTCCCGTATTGTCTGGTAGGATGTCCAGTAATGTCTGGTAGGATATTCTGTATTGTCTGGTAGGATGTCCCGTATTGTCTGGTAGGATGTCCTGTAATATCTGGTAGGATGTCCCCTAATGTCTGGAAGGATGTCTCTTAATATCTGGTAGGATGTCCCGTAATGTCTGGTAGCATGTCCCTTAATGTTTGTTAGGATGTCCCATAATGTCTGGAAGGATGTCCCATAATGTCTGGTAGGATGTCCCGTAATGTCTGGAAGGATGTCCCATAATGTCTGGTAGGATGTCCCGTAATGTCTGGTAGGATGTCCCGTAATGTCTGGTAGGATGTCCTGTAATGTCTGGTAGGATGTCCCATAATGTCTGGTAGGATGTCCCGTGATGTCTGGTAGGATGTCCTGTAATGTCTGGTAGGATGTCCTGTAATGTCTGGTAGGATGTCCCATAATGTCTGGTAGGATGTCCTGTAATGTCTGGTAGGATGTCCCGTGATGTCTGCTAGGATGTCCTGTAATTTCTAAGATTTGTGTGCTGAAAGCTGATCACTGTACTTTGCCACTTCTAGACTTAGCGAAACAGCATGTTATTGTAAGATGATGGAAGAAGAGTAGAATATATTGCAACTGCTCTCTGCATGATCAGCAATTATAATGGCTGCTTGTGATTTAATGAACTATAATTTTTATGATAACCAAATTAATAACATTATTGTGCAGTTATTTCATCATCATTATCAAGGGCCTTGCCAACTGGTGTGGGTGATCATGCCTCTCCACAATCTACGATCCACATCTGTGTGTATCAGTTCATGTGTTGACACTCCTCCTTGCTATGACAGAAGGCCATCAAGAATCTTCTCACGTTGTCTTCCTCTGTCTCTATTTCCACAGTTGTTTCCAGTTTTGACAACATGTTCCATTTTCCCTCTTCTCTTAACATGACTAAAATATGATAACTGTCTCTTTCTGATGCTTGTGACAAGCTGTCCTTGAGCACCCACCTCTTTCAAAACATCTGGGTTACTCTTCCTAACTGTGCAGTTATTTACCTTATGGTAATTGTGGGCCTGTATTAGACACTGTGAGATTCAATCATTTTGTTTCTTCTTAAGTTTCAACACATTTTTTGAAATTTAAAGAAAAATTCCAGAATTCTCTAATGGAGTTAACCTTGATTGTAAAATATATATGAAACAGTGTTTAGCACCATATAAAAGCACCATATATTCACGCAGTCAATATAAAGCTCGACCTCTGGTGTATTAGATTCTCCTAATTCTCTACATATCATCTTGGAATTATTCATTAATTTACATTAATTTCTAATTCTAAATGTAAAAAGTAATTGCTTTGAAGAGGGTAAAACCTGCTGAGTAGTAGGTTTGCTAATTTTTAAAAACAAAAATGTGAATTCTGAGTTTAGTGATCAAGTAGCTTCTTCTAGATTGATTTCATCCGTGATATTGAGCTCTGTTTATTTGGTTAATGTCCTGTCTAACAAATTAGCTGGTGCAGTAATTTTACAGCCTATTTTCTCAAACCGCCATTAATTTTTAGTGTGCAACTTGCACAAGAGGCTTCCTTTTTTCCGCCAACCTTATCTGAAAAGGTTTTATATATATAATAAACAAACAGACAGGGGGGCTGAGTGGTCCCGAGGCATCAAGCCCCACTTCAAGTGCTGGAGGTTCCGGGTTAAGGCCTCAGTGAATGATGTGATTTTTTTCATGTTGACTTCTAGTAATTGTCCCTGGTCTTGGGGTAGTAAGATCGGATGCCTATGTGTATTGTTGCGCACGTAAGAAAATCCCTTAGCTGTAAGAAATCAAAAAGAGTAGCCTAACTGAGCTGCCAGGGCAAAAATTTGGAGGTAAAAATTTAACAAAAAGTATTTGAGGATCCTCGCCGGTGCTACAGAGTTTGTGCATTGCATGAATTTCTTTGGACTGAGGCTTGAGTCATGGTAATTTTGAAGAAGACAGGAGAATGGGCCAGAGAAGAAGAGAACTGCAGGCATGCTTTGATGAAGAGCAGCGTTCTGTACAAAACCAGCTGATTGATTGTTCATCTGTGTCCTATGTCCTCAAAAACCAGAGATTTGTTTTTAAAAAAAATTTTTTATCTCTTACTATTAGCACATGAAAGAGTGGTCATAATAATAGAATGTTGTTACATGTGCTTTGGTACATTTTGTACTGTACTGAGTATGTGCTCTTCAGTAACTTTACTAGTAGTTGCTACACTGAAGTTTTGCCTTTCTTTACTGATGATCTGTGTCATTGCTGAACTGGGGATATGGCATTGTTGAGCTGGACTTTTTGTCATTGCTGTACTGGGGCTGGGTCATTACTTTTATGGTAATGTCTGTACTGGGATGTGTCACTGCTGTACTGGGGCTGGGCCATTACTTTTATGGTAATGTCTGAACTGGGATGTGTCACTGCTGTACTGGGGCTGGGCTATTACTTTTATGGTAATGTCTGTACTGGGATGTGTCACTGCTGTACTGGGGCTGGGTCATTACTTTTATGGTAATGTCTGTACTGTGATGTGTCATTTTTGTACTGGGTCTCTTTTCATTGCTTTTTTGGTAATTGATTTACTGGGATGTGTCATTGCTGTAAGGCGCTGTTTCATTGCCATACTGGGGATCTGCAGTTACTTTATGGTAATTGCTGTACCTGGATGTCACTGCTGAACTGGGGATGTGCCATTGCTGTTGTGATAATTGCTGTACAGGGAGTAAGTCGTTGATATATCTGTTAAGTGTTCCACTTGGGATATGTGATTACTGTCCTTAGGACTTGTCCTATTTACAGGGGACTTGTCCTTTTTACAGGGTACTGTGTCCAAGGTACTGGGGACTATTACTGTACTAGTGACTGTGTCTTGGTAAAGGATATATCATTGCTGACCTGATAATTGTTGTATGTGAACATGCCATTCCCATGTCTTAATATTTATAGTTTATTATTGTGATCATCCTTTGTTGTGGTTCTCATGACTGTTAACTGTACTCATGATCTTTCATTTTCATTCTTCTTTGTCTTCTTCTTCTTCTTCATGTTCACCAACTATAAATTCTCGTAGAAAGTTCTGGTTGCTCATCCACTTCTGGACTTTGATCTTGTTCCTAGATTTGCCTTTTGCATGAACATCTGATAGACGATCAGGAGTCTGTTTTATTTTCCCTAAAATGAGGCACTGAAACCCACACTTTCTGTCTGTGCGGAGCAATGTTGCAATATTTATAACGTCAACTCATCTAATTTCTTCCTAACATTTATTTTTCCAAGTTAGTTTTTCTGGGACTAATTTCAGTTACTGTCCTTGTTAAATGTCTATGAAGACAACCTAAAATGCCTTTTATGACATGCTTGTTAGGGTACAGGGGGTCTGTTCTTTCTCCTGGCAAATGGGACCTCAGAACCCAAGGGGAACCTCACCCCATTCAGTTGATGCTTGAATAATTTACTATATCTGTGTTGTTTTTTATCTGTAGACTTGTAAATTATTGTTTCTGTATGTTTGTGGTAGTTTTGCTATGGAAAGTTAAGTGTTCTGACATAGAGTTAACTGAGCAGTGACATTTATCTACTCTAGTGTGGCTCAGATGACAGATCTCTGTGGGTAAGGAACACATTATGTTGTTGTAGCTATGGGAGAGTACAAATATGTACATATATGTGTATTTGTTTATATGTGTATGTGTAAGTAGATTTGTTTTCTTGCTTTCACTATTTCGTTGTGTAGTTTTATTATTTTTGGTTTTGCTAGTGCAACCTTATAAATTTATTAAGAAATAACTATGAACTAGTGATACTTTAGTGAAAAAACGAGAGATAATTTTTGAAATGAAATTCAATCTGTTTCAAAATATTTTTAAAAATAGCTTTGTACACTCATCCTCATTATCATCCAGACGTGCCCTTATAGTCACATAAGGCTAACAGTTGATTAATCTGTTCCTTTCTATCAAGTGAAATTTCCATCATTATTTATTTTACAGCTTTCAGTTCCGTTTCTGTGACCTTTTTCATCATATGCTTTTTCTTGAATGGCCTTGCTTCCTAGATCCATTTTTTTCTCCTTCCAGTAGTATCTTTTTTTTTGATTCTTTATCTGTCTTGCATCAAAAAAGTCTCAGTCAAATCACTATATTTTGTTCTCTTATAACCATTGAAATTACTCATTACTTTCCTTATTTGAACCAGAAGACAGCAGGTATACATGAGGCACATTCAGAAATTCACTGATGTCATAGCTCATTATGTGCTTTCAGTCAATCAGTCACTCAGCAAATCCTTCACAGAACGTCGTTCTCTTCACAGGACACCTGAAAGTCTCTCTCTTCTCTATCCAGTGTTCCAGCCCTTAGTGCATTTATAGCCAATGTCTCTACCCTGTTTTCCAGAAACTGCACCCACCATCACTGTTCTCTCCAGGATGCTGTTTATAAGCTAATTCTCCCTAATGTTTAAGCCATGCAGGATGTTGGTGTTTGTCTTCTTCTTATGCTTTCTTATATCTTTGCACATTATAATTTTCTGTATAATCTCCATCCTCTTCTATGCCAACAGGAAACATGACGACACCTTGTAATTGTGTGTGTCTGGTTTTGTCCTGTTTACTTTCCTTATATGCCTTACGGCATGAACAGCAATCATTTACTGTTTACTATTACAGCCAATAAGCACGTCATAACAGCCGGCCGACTAATTAGGTGTGTTTCCTTCGATGTCAGAATGCATGTACCTGAGAGGCAAGAAACCAGCTGTCTGCATATGGATAAGCCAGATCTGTAAAGTGGATGTCCATGCAAAACTCGAGATCTGCAACAAGACTAAAGTCCAGGAGTGGGGAAAAAACTGAACTTTCTGTAGGAGTTTATAGCGGGTGAATGCAAAGAAGAAGTAAGAGAATCATAGTTTGCTGGTGTGGTCATTATCACATCATTACCAGGTGAAAGACTACTACCGTTAAAGTCATCTGATCATTTCACACTGCTGAGACTACTACTGTTAAAGTCATCTGATCATTTCACACTGCTGTAGTCTTTTCTCAACAATTCTCTTTCACTGTTTGTTTTCTTGGATGCAGATCCAATCTGAGCAGTCGTTTTTTTAAATTTATAATTGACTTTGGTTCTCAGATATTTATAATTGACTTTGGTTCTCAGATTAATCTAGCCTAAAATTAAAATGGACACCAGGAGATATCCTGGAAAATAAAGACGACTGGTACCTTCTTTGTTTTTCACGTTTACAGGCTGTAAACTCTTTCAGAAAGTTCTGGTTATTTGTCCACTTCTGGAGTCTAGTCCTATTCTAAAACCTGAGTGTTGCATGCACATCTGTTTTCCAGATCTGACTCATTTGAATGCAGTCTGTTGGTTCCATGCCTCTCAGGCAAATGCGCTTCAACTTTGAAGGAAGCTCTCAATTAGCCGACTCTTATGACATGCTTTTGGGTAGGCAGTGTGACTATTCTAAGTTTTCCCCGGGACCCACACAGGAAACAACCAACATGATATTGGTCGCGTCACTCATCAAGTGCTGATTGGTCTATACAAATATGAGTCTAGCATCCTGTCCTGAAAGTCGAGATGGTTTGGCCGTGTCAAGCGCTGTGGTGGTCTAGAGAGAAGGGTGCAGTTTCCGAAATACGGGGCAAAGGTCGGCCTCGGCGAAGGTGGATATGGAAACATCAAAGACGCATTGGCTATCAAAGCACACAGGGCTGGAGAATGGGCTAGAGAAAGGGAAAACTTCAGGCATGCTGTGACGAGAGCAGTGTTCTGTAAAGGACCGATTGATTGATTTGATTGATTGATTATCACATACACATTTCACAATTGGCATGAAAGCGTTTCTTTACTTCACAGTGTTTGTATGAACTTCAGTGTCCTTATACTCCTGTGCTTGTGATGTAACCTCTTAGGCATGCTGTAAATTTTTTTGCCTTGGGTTTGTTCCATGGAATATTTGTACAAGGGTGTCCCATAAGTTTTCTTGAAGTAAAAGAACCCTTTTCCACGCCTTCAGGTGTACTGGGCATATAGGGCTAGACCTGTATTTTTTAGACCACTTGGTGATGTGGTCACGATCTTGCCGGCCACCTTTAATTCCCAGGACTGTACTTGGTACTCATTTAAGACTGGGTATAAGTTTCCTTAAATAGAAAAAATTAACAGATTTTATGAAAAACATTTTTTTTTATATAATATGCTCTACGAGACTACCATTGTTTTGAAAACATATTTCAATACGTGTCCTCCACTGCTGAAAAACACATATAAGCACAGCTGGAGTAATGCTTGTAATAGCATTGGTGATATTTTAATTTTGCCTGTGTATGGAAACTTAGTGGGACACCCTGTAATCTTTTGCTACTTACCGGGACATTATTGTAGCATTTCAGTCTAATATATACCCCAGTAAAGCTCTGAAAATGTAACATAAATTTGCAAAAACCACAAAGTATGTGTCACTTTTGCAGAACACACAATGGATGTTGTGGCGACTATCCCTCGTCAGTAAACAAGAATGAGAAAAAAATAAAACACAAAACTGAAAGTAAAATTGAACTGAAATAACTATAGTAGGTAGTAAAATATTATGTAAATAAATTAAACAGAATAACATTTACGTAGCCTATATAAAATATGTGATTCTTACCTGGACTGTCATCAAATATGTGAAACTTACTGGACTAGCAAAAAATATGTGATTTTTATCCGGACTGGCATAAAATATGTGAAACTTACTGGACTAGCATAAAATGTGTGATTTTTATCCGGACTGGCATAAAATATGTGAAACTTACTGGACTAGCATAAAATGTGTGATTTTTATCCGGACTGGCATAAAATATGTGAAACTTACCCGGACTGGCATAAAATGTGTGATTTTTATCCGGACTGGCATAAAATGTGTGAAACTTACCCGAACTGGCATAAAATGTGTGATTTTTATCCGGACTGGCATAAAATATGTGAAACTTACCCGGACTGGCATAAAATATGTGATACTTACCTGGACTGGCATAAAATATGTGAAACTTACCCAGACTAGCATAAAATATGTTAAACTTACCCGGACGCATGAAATATGTGAAACTTACCTGGTCTGGCATAAAATATGTGAAACTTACCCGGACTGGCATAAAATATGTGAAACTTACCCCTGGAGTGGCATAAAATATGTGATACTTATCTGGACTTCGTGTTTTTTCCAATTTTGTTATTCATCCCACTCAACATGCTTGATTTTAACTTTTGTAAAGTATTGTGAATTTCATTATAATGGCATGTTTGTGTTTTCTTTTTAAACCTTAGAATTTCTGTGATAAATTTGTACATTATTGTAGCTTCTATTTCGTCATATTTGCTTCTTGCTTGAAATAGTTTTCAGTTCTTGTGGGTATTGTTGAGCTTCAGCACTGTTTTCTTCTGCTGTAACTGTGGAAATCAAAACAATATTGTAGTAGTAAATTCAAGCAATCAGAAAACGAGTACTCAAATGTTAAATGGAGCCTGTTCTATTGTTGTGAATCTTGGAATGTGAGCAAACAAATTAAGAAGAGTTTGGAAACATCTGAGATGTGGTTCTTGAGAAGAATTTTTTTGTTTTTGTTTTTAGTATCCAGAAGCCATGAGTTTTTAAACCCTTAGGCTCAGTATTATGGATATCTCAACCTGTCGGCCTTGATTTCATTGTAAATACCGTAAATCTGGGAGAAAATGTGGCTTTTCTGCCCACTCCCGGGAGTGAACCCGGACCACAAGGAGTTCGTCACCTGCTCACCACGCAATCCGGTTTAGCCAACTACGCTAGAGAGACGGGCATGAGAAGAATGTTGCGAGTGCCTTGGACTGCCAGAATGACTAACAATGATCGCCTGGAAATGGCTAGTGAAAGTAGAACATTATATATTACGATGAGAAGGAGACAAACACAGTTCTTTGGTCATGTGGTGAGGGAAGGAGCACTGGAAAATATCGTGACCAAGAGAAGTGATGGTGGATGGCTTAAGACTGGGGCATGGAGGAATATCATCAGTGGAAATGATACATAAAACCAAAGACTGAGACCGGTGGAGATGCATGAACGTCTATGTCAGCTGGCAAGGCACTTGATGATGATGATGACATTGAAGCAAAGGACCCTTTCACATGTTCGGCACGTCTGGCATATGAAGTTAGGCTCACTTTTTATAGAACAACCGGTATGTGATTGATGATGTAGTCTGCATCCCACCTTTACTTCTAACTTATTTCCCTGTGAGTTCTGGGTTCCATCATTTTTGTGAACAAAGAATAAACCCACTGACCCCTTTCACATGTTCGGCACGTGTTCCAAACAGATGAGACAGAACTCTAAAACAGATGAACACACAAAACTCAAGTTCTGGATTAAGACCCAAGCCCAGGAGTGGACAAACAACTAGGACTTTCCACTGACTTTTAGAGTCAGTGAACATGACGAAGAAGAAGAAGAAGGGGGAGACTTTGCTGTACCTATTTTAGGTTGGGATGACCAGGGAAATATTGTGCTAGATTCAGTTCTTATTCTTTTTGCTTGTAGATGTGAGATAAGTAATAAATAAGTTATATCTAGCTTTTTTTTTTTTTAATGTTGTGTGCTCATATTTTGATAAGTCTTGTTGTGTATGTGTGTATTACTTTCTACATCAAAACTGTTTGGGCACATATCTGAAGAAATTGTAAATGCACTGCACATAATATGCCTGTATCTGTTGTTTTTTATTTTTATGCCCTCTGACTTTTAAAAAGCATGGATGCTGGTGTTTTTAAGTTTAAGTCATTTTGCTTTTATGTTCTTTGTCTGCCTGATGTAAATTTATCACTAGCTGGTTTAAAACTTCGTAGGTGACCACATTAATTGTTTGTGTATTTTAGTCTTAGAATTGATGCTTCTTACTTTTTGTGCTCAGTATAATCACACATCAGCTTTTCACATCACAAGTAACATAGTTTTTCAAAGTAGCAACTTGAGGTTATAATGTTTTTTTGTAATTCTGTGCAGCAGCATAAATTGTGGATTTTCATGAGATTATGGGTTTTCTGTCACATTTGATACATTTCATTGAAAATTTATATTATGAACAACAAACAGCCACAAGAGTAGCTGGAGAATCATCAAATTGGTTCAAGGTGCATTCAGTATGTATGCAGAAAGCATAATGAAAATGTTAAAATGACCAAACTTGTGACAGTCATGATCCCCTTGTAATTGGCGGCAACCCTATTCTATGCAGACGACACAGTCCTCCTTCCAGACCATGTAAAGAAAAAAGAATCTTTACCTGTCTAAAAACAGTGAAAATCAAAGCCTATTCCTAAATTTAAAGGAAACAAAAATAATGTCTACAGACAAAACTGCCTGTCACTCAGATAATGACAAGAAATGATGAATAAATTGTAAAATATCACAAACTTTGAATATCTAGTCTCATAATAAACAGCACTGGAGACTGAAATCTAAAAGAGGATGGCCATAGCAATTCATTTATTAAACAGCATTAAAATTCTAAGTACCGGCAAGGAAGTTAAGGTCAAAATTTTAAGTACATGCTTCTTCCCTGGAGCAACATATGGTATGTGAGTAATGTAGTCGCCAAGGAAGATTTTGAGCTGAAATGTTAAAGAAAGATTCTCAGAATACCATGAATTCTGAAGAAGTAAATACTCACATCCTAAAAGATGTGAACATCAGGGAAGGCTAGCTAGCAAACGGAATCTTGTTTAATGCAGATTGTCCCTCTCTGATGTGGGCAATCAGTTCTCTTTCTGAGTCAGTTTCTTTCAAGACATCTTCATTACTCTTTTTATCTGTCCAGTGTGTTCTCATCATTCGTCTATAAAACCATCTCCACCGCTTCCAAATAATTGTTTCACTATTCATCTAACTGTATTTTTGTGAATAATCTTATTAAAATTGAGTATTGTGCTCTTTAATTAGAGGGTATCCGTGGCAAAGTTGTTAAGCAGTTTGCCTGACACTCTGAAGATCATGGGTTCTTTTGAACACTAAAAGAAGCTACTAGGTATAGAAGATGCACTGGCATTACAGTGCCTAGCATGCTTGCCTCCTATCCTGGTAGTCATGAGATCGAGTCCCGATTGAAGCAGAGTTTTTTCCTAGGCTATTATAGGCACAGGTTATTTACTGGGAAGTACTGGACTCATTCTGAGACAAGAGAAAGGAAATGGGAAACGAAGGTATCGAGGTAACAAGGACATGTTACAGAAATCCTATGATAGACATCAATGAGTGAGGCAAAAGATGCTGAGCTAAGTTCATACATGATATATAAAGAATTGCAACAGGATAGAACATTCTCTGGTAATCAGGTAATCGCAGTTCCGACTTAAAAGTAAACGGGTCATTCTGTTGTTGCTCCGTTCCTGTGCCCAAAAAGAAAAAACACACACAATGTCCATTATTGTTCCTTGTGAAAAAACTGACACAGACTGCAGTCTCGGCAAAGCATACACAGGCATTAAATACAGAAGGCAGTTGTCAGAAATGCCAACACTAGAAATTAGAAATATTGTTCATCAATGGATGCAACAATCACAGCAGATCAGTAGTTGCACATGCAGTCATTGAAAAAGGCACCACAACTTCTCTGGCAGCAGGCCACATGCCATTTTCTGAATCTGCAGTTTGACAACACAAACCACAGTGGGCACAGTTAAGAAGCATTCCAAATGGAACCTGCAGCTCACACTGTCATGCTATAAGCTTATCTCCCTAGGTGGGCAACAGAACTGTATCCTTTCAGTTTAGATATGGAGGAAAATGCAACAAAACAGATGTCAGAAGCAAAGACTTGCCTTGTCCAAAAATAGTAAACCTGTCTGTCCACCATATTGACTGAAGTCTTCTAACATTGAACATTACAGAGGAATCAACCAAAAACCCAGTGAGAAATAAATGTCACAAGGCTAATGTTGAAAATTGAGCAGCGTGATTTTCACTGTACGATCCACCAAGTGTCTCACCCAGTCTACAAATGTGTGGCTAGCACTCTATACCTATCCTGCTGGGCTCAGCCTAAAATGGGTACCAGGTAATGTTCTGGGAAGTAAAGATGGCAGACATGATGTTGGCCACATCACCGGGCGTGTGCCGATATTGATCCTCAAACATATGAATCTAGCATCATATTCCCAATAAGCCACTGGCATAAAATGTGTCCTATCTTTCTAATATACCTAATACACCACACAGCATGAAAAACTAGTTTACTTACAAGATGCTAGAAGCATTTTTTTTTTTAAATATTGGTGAACAAGGTGCTGAAGAAGGAAAGTATTTGTCCTTCTTCATTATGTCATGAACTTATTTATGTGAGAGCCCTGAACTTTACACCCTTACTGCAGTATTTACCTAGGACTGCTCTTTCCTGTTTATATATAAAGGAAATTGCTTTTGATCCTGTTGTCAAGTTGTCAAAAGATCTAAGGTTACCCATACACCTTTCAATATTGCCAGCTGCTGAAGATGCTCAACAGCAACACAGAAAACCCGTACTTGATCTGGGACAATGCCACCCGCGCCCAGCTCTGTGAATATCTTACAGATCAGCAACAGCGGATCATTAAAACAGTAAGTATTCTATATTGTTGTAAATTGTATGTTTTGCAGTAAGTATGCAGTGTTGCACTATTTTGAAATGTTTTGCAGTAAGTATTCTGTTCCTGAATGTTATGAAATGTATGTTTTGTGTTAAGTATTCTTTTCTAGATTGTTGAGAAATGTGTGTTTTGTGTTAAGTATTCTTTTCTGGATTGTTGAGAAATGTGTGCTTTGTGGTAAGTATTCTTATCTGGATTGTTGAGAAATGTGTGATTTGTGTTAAGTATTCTTATCTGGATTGTTGAGAAATGTGTGATTTGTGTTAAGTATTCTTATCTGGATTGTTGATGAAAAGTATGTTTTGCACCAAGGATATTGGAGATTCACAACAACTCATTTCCATACTGGGAGGGTCTTTAACCTGAAGGCTTATAGCAGCTTGGCAAGTGCAGTCGCCACAAACTGTGCAGTTTAGGATTTTGTGTGCGTGTGTATGCTCTTGCAGAAAAGAGTCCAATACTTACCAAGGATTGAAGCCTGGGTCTCTAATTGAGAGCCCAGCCCTATTAACTGCTGTTCAATCAAGTTGTTAGCAAAACTGAACCTGGGATTTTTACCTCCTCTTTTTAATCATATTTTGTTATGCTTTGCAGAAAGTGGGGGAAGGGAGGAATAAGTGCCCTTACTGTATAATGAGAGTGGGATGTGGGGGATACCACCTGAATAAGTTTAGAAACCATTGCAGTAGAGTGTAGATTGTGGGTTGTAACTACTAGTATCATCTATATTGTGGGTTGTAACTACTAGTATCATCTATATTGTGGGTTGTAACTACTAGTATCATCTATATTGTGGGAGGTAACTACTAGTATCATCTATATTGTGGGTTGTAACTACTAGTATCATCTATATTGTGGGAGGTAACTACTAGTATCATCTATATTGTGGGTTGTAACTACTAGTATCATCTATATTATGGGTTGTAACTACTAGTATCATCTATATTGTGGGTTGTAACTACTAGTATCATCTATATTGTAGGAGGTAACTACTAGTATCATCTATATTGTAGGAGGTAACTACTAGTATCATCTATATTGTAGGAGGTAACTACTAGTATCATCTATATTGTAGGAGGTAACTACTAGTATCATCTATATTGTAGGAGGTAAACTACTACTATCATCTATATTGTAGGAGGTAACTACTAGTATCATCATCTATATTGTAGGAGGTAACTACTAGTATCATCTATATTGTAGGAGGTAACTACTAGTATCATCTATATTGTAGGAGGTAACTACTAGTATCATCTATATTGTAGGAGGTAACTACTAGTATCATCTATATTATGGTTTGAAACTACTAGTATCATCTATATTGTAGGAGGTAACTACTAGTATCATCTATATTGTAGGAGGTAACTACTAGTATCATCTATATTGTAGGAGGTAACTACTAGTATCATCTATATTATGGTTTGAAACTACTAGTATCATCTATATTGTAGGAGGTAACTACTAGTATCATCTATATTGTAGGAGGTAACTACTAGTATCATCTATATTGTAGGAGGTAACTACTAGTATCATCTATATTGTAGGAGGTAACTACTAGTATCATCTATATTGTAGGAGGTAACTACTAGTATCATCTATATTGTAGGAGGTAACTACTAGTATCATCTATATTGTAGGAGGTAACTACTAGTATCATCTATATTGTGGGTTGTAACTACTAGTATCATCTATATTGTAGGAGGTAACTACTAGTATCATCTATATTGTAGGAGGTAACTACTAGTATCATCTATATTATGGTTTGAAACTACTAGTATCATCTATATTATGGGTTTTAACTACTAGTATCATGTTGAATGACCATTCACTAGTGTCATTTATATTGTTGGATGTAGCCACTGGTGTTGTTTAGATTGTCAGATGTAACCTTTAGAGTTTTGATTTTGGAATACAACCGCTAATGTTTCTAAATGTTAACATTACTCGTACAAAATGCTTATGCCAAAGTCACACAGCAGCAGAAGTGACTAACTGCTAGTATAACAGTAGCTTTATCCACTTGTTTCTTTGAGAAAAAGTGGAAAACTTGAGACAGTTTCAGAGTATTAGGCTTTACTAATGTCACCTCTCCATGGCATTTGCTGTTTGTTTCAGGGATTCAGCTATGATCATTATGGCACAGACATTGTAGGATTGTTTTGTTTCTCTGATTTTTGATATTTCTTTTACTTTCATTTCCAATATTAAATTAAATATTTATTTATATATTTTAATTAGTTAGAACTTGTTTTCCCTATAAACATTTTTTTTAAAGTAACGCATTGAGTTAATATTTAATAAATATTTTGTTTATGGGGGAAGGGGGGGTGGGGGGCAAAATAATCGGAATTGTTAAAATAAAAAAAAACATTAATGATATTTTATACAAATTAATTGTAAAAGTAAAAAGCCTGACCTGTTTACCCCACAGCTTAAGGTGTGTCAGGTGTATGTGCTAGTTCTATAGTTGTATAGACCATTTAGTACTCAATGGGCATTGTGGTCAGTATAACTCCAGCTACCCTTGCTTTTCTAAATATTTCCTGGTGCCAGTTTTATACTGGGAGCTAGATGTTGGGGCATCATAGGCTAGGCTTTCTTGCACCAAAAGTTGACCTTTAGTTTTCACTAAGAACCCCGGGTACTTCTTTTGCCTCTTGAAACTGAACCATCTGTATAAATAATCACATTTACTTTAAATCCCAAATAAAGGTCAGAAAATATTACTATTTTTACTGCAGGCAAATCACTGCGTACTGCCACTCCCAACATTTGTTTTTATAAAATTGAATTTATTTTTTAAGGTGCTGTGCTCCCTGTGTCGGCACTGTGCTCCCTGTGTCGGCACTGTGCTCCCTGTGTCGGCACTGTGCTCCCTGTGTCGGCACTGCCCCTTAACAAACATGTCCTAGGAGGCGACTAATCAGGGATGTGCTAAAATTGGATGTATAGGGCTGAAAGGCACAGATATCGCATCATAGTTGTAAAACTCCACATGTCAGTCAGTCTTTTAAGAGCTACAGAGAAGAGGAAGAAGAAGAAGAAGAAGAAGATGAACAAGAAGAAGAAGAAGAACAGTAACAACAACAACAACAAAAAAACTAAGAAGAAGAACAAGGACAAGATGAACAAGAAGAAGAACAACAAGAAAAGAAGAACAACAACAAGATAAGAAGAAGAACAATAACAACAAGATAAGAAGAGGAACTACAAGAGCAACAAGAACAAGAATATGAAGAAAAACAAGAAGAACAAGAACAAGACGAAGAAGAAGAAGACTGTGCAGTGTTTGGCGTGAATTTTGTCTATGGTACAGGTTTATTTGTAGCACTGATGGTTTTTAGTCCAACACATTGAACTGTTACTGCTTCATCATTAATCTGACTCCGCTTTGTTCTTGCTGCTGCCGCCATGGGCAACACAGAAAATCTGCATGTGTTTCTCATTTTTGGTTTATTGAGGTAAAACCTCTGACCACATCTGCACATTCTAGCATCACTCTTGAACATCTTGGTTTTTATTGATTTTGTTTATTACTTTGCACCTCTGGCTTTGTGCTTTTGTCTGTTGCATAATATAAAAAATGCTATTTATTTATAAAATAATGTGTTAAAACTGTTTACTTTTGTGCCTAAATATTAGCCCAGTGGAGAAATATTAGTGTATTAGATTTAAAATATGATTTTATATATTTCAAATGTTTTAGACATTTTATGATCAGAAGGAGACAATTTTTTTTTTTTTTCTTTGGTCACATCATGAGAATGAGATAGTTTGAGTACATCATGATAGGGAAAACAATGGAAGGAAAGGAGGCAGAAGGAGGCCAAGAGGGAAGAGACTGCACAGTTTGACAGCATGGTGTGAAAGGTCATATGTGGAAGGTCATCTGTGACAGGTCATCTGTGGAAGGTCATCTATGTCAGAACTGAATTGAAAGTACACAAAACAGAAGTATGTGGATAAACATGACTGCTAGTGCCCCACTGCATGGACTGCAAGAAGAAGAAGAATATGAAAACTTATGTGCAACTAGATTAAATGTTTTGGCAAGCATCTCACATCTCAGAACACATACTGCACCATTATATGTTCAGATCAGAATACTGGTTATAATTATATGGGTGTCTGTGTGTGTTTATTTATTTATTTATTAAGTGGTGCAAGTTATTTTTACTGTTTTTGTACAGAAATTGTACAGTAGAAAAACAGGAATAATGGTATTTACCAAAAAACAAAACAAAAAAAATAGACCCTCCTAATGCAACATTTAAGTAAATAGGACAATTCTAATGCAAGTTGATAAGTTTGAGTACTTGGTTACCATGATGATAGCAGATGAAAGATATGTTCAGAAAGTGACATGTAGAATATCTCAAGCAAAGGCAGCTGTTCGCAAAAGTTGAAAATAGTCTATGCAATGTTTGTCAGTTGGAGTTAAAAAGATAATTCTCAAGAGCTATATAGATTGTATCTTGCTATATGTAAGTGAAACATGGACAGTTAGCCGATCATTGGCAAATTATATGAAAGTGGCGGAGATGGGGTTTTGAAGGCGAATGATGAGAACACCCTGCACAGATTTTAAAAAAGTAGCAGCCTGGAGGGCTTACAACGAATGCAGAATTTAACAGGAAAAGATCAAAATAATGGTGTGTGTAACCTGTTAAGCTGTATGACTGTGACTGTATAGCCAAAGTGACTTAGCAGAATCACTTGAAACATTTTTTTTTTAATTGAGAGGATCCACTTCTTGTTTTGAATTACCCCATAGGGCTCAGTCTCGCTTTTTAGAACCGCTAGTCACCTGCTGAGATGTCACACAAAGCACTAACTGCATAGTTCCAGGGATGACAGGGATGTTTTTTACTGCATTCATGAACTGAATTATGTTTCCGTGAAATGAACCCATGACTTTCAGAGCATTAAGCAGACATTTTGACTACTTCACCACAGAAACCCCCTATTTGGTAATAAAAGAGGAACATTATTCGCAACTGTGGTTATGGGATGAAAAATTGGGCAAGAAATAAAATACAAGGTGCTCTAGTATCAAAAGTGGATGTAATCGAGAGCACCAGAGATGGAGATCTGTTGCGAGACACAAAGATCTAAGCCATTTGATGAAGCCCATAATGATGATATATTTCATAAACACATGATCTCTGCAATACTTCTTCTGCTTCTTCTTTTTCTTCAGCACTCCAGGCCCTTGAGGTTCATTGCTGCAGAATCACCTGCCTCCACTCATCTCACTGGTTGGCCTTCTCTTTCCAGTTGGTGACACCAAGTGTTTGCTGGGTTGCCTGGACATTATCTCAATCGTCTTCTTGGTCTGCCTCGTGGTCTACGACCATTCATCTCCCTTGTGTATACAGTTTTTACTTCTCTGCTATCTGACATTCTGTCAATATGCCCAAACCAATTCAGTCTATTAGCTCTTATGATGCCAGTGATCAGTGGTGATTTAAACAGATAATGAATGTTGTTGATGCTTATCACTCTCTCACTCTGCATTACTACCCAGGCTTTATACTGTGGAGTGAATGATGCTGGTGTTGATGTGGATTTGTGGTGGTGAGATGTGGTGTTTTATGGGGACAGAGAGGGGAGGGTGGATATCAGAAGGGGGCGGAGGGAGTGATTGCAGATGGGTTGAGGGTTGGGCATCAGGAGGGGGGGGGGGGGAGTGAGTCCCAGTGAACCCGTTTCCTTGTGTCCCACGTTAAAATATGGAAGACTTTTTTTTAAAGTCAGGGTGGATCTGGATCTTGCTGGTCATATCTGCCAAAACCATGGGCTATGATCTCCCTGCCTTCTTGTAGCTCAGTATAACAACATTGTCCAGAAAGATGGAAAGGTGCTAACATATGGCATAGACAGTGTCTGTGGTGGGGAAAATATGTTATCTACAGATATTTTGTCTGTTGTATTCCTCTTGAGAATAACATAAGACAGATGATGTTCTATATTTCTTTAGGGAGAATGTGATCCAAGCTACGGTGCCAACTTTGTCTTCGATATCCACTCTAAAGAGCTGATTGTTGGAGAAATATTTGTTAGGATCTTCAATGAGCAACCAACCTTTCCCCTGGAGGTCAGTATTTTATTACATTTGTTGTAGCAATGTCATTGCTTTCGTTTGTTGTTTAGGCAAATGAGAACTAAATAGTTGTGCAGGAAGGACGTGCACATTTAGAACTAAATGTACAGTTACTTCCTATTGCTCATATCTTGTTCACTCCTATATATAATTTTAAAATAGTGAAAAATATTTCATGGATAGAAACATGTGAGACTTTCAAATGTATCTGAACATAAATTTTCTTCAGCATTCCGAGCCCTTGAGGTTCATTGCTGCAAATATCACCTGCCTCCATTCATCTCTCTGGTTAGCCTTCTCTTTCCAATTGGTGGCACCAAGTGTTTGCAGATCTGTCTGGATATTATCTTTCCATCGTTTTCAGGGTCTGCCTCATGGTCTATGGCCATTCATCTCCCTTGTGTATAAATTTTTTACCTCTCTGTCAATATGCCCCTGCCATTTCAGTCTATTAGCTCTCATGATGCCAGTGGTCAATGGTGATTTAAACAGATTATGAATTTGTGTTGCTGCATCTCACTCTGTATGCCCAGCTGAACATAAATAAACGATCATGTATAAGCCTTCCACTCAGATCTGAAGATGCATTTACTTCATCTAGATACACAAGGACCACTTGACATCATGCATGAAACCAACCTATAAATCTGACTAAATACTTCTTGATCTCAGTGAAGTGGGTAATACCCAGTGTTTTTCAGTGAAATGGTTCAGATGGGCAGTAGAAGCCATAGATGCGGTTGGAAGGCATTGGAATGGTCAAGGAGGTGGCGGTGGCCTTGGGTGTAATTGTGGAACATTGAAAAATAAGATTGCGAGGAGGCAGCACTTATGATAATGTCAGCCATTTAAACCATTTGACTGCATTTTTTCATAACTTTAAATGTGTCCACATCTTTTATTTACAGCCATTTTAAAATTGTAACAGCTTTGTTTGTTACTGTTTTATTCTCCAGAACCCCAAAGGTTTTACAATAGATCTTTTGGATTTCCTGGGATCTCAGGCACAGGTATAAGTGTTTGCTAGTTAAAATGAGCATTCTTGTTGCATCTGTATCTATGTTGTTCCAGGAACTATGACAGAATACTGATTAGTGCACTTGCCTTCTAAGACAGTGATCTAGGGTTCAGCCTTGGGCAAATAAGGATTGCCTGCCAGCATTGTATCCCCTTCAGGCTGCTCCAGGAAAATGTAGACCCCTTAAATCAGAAGATCTTAATCTGGAAGGCAGACCAATAGGACTTGATGTCTGGAAACTGTGAGACAAAAAAAACTCATTACTGATGGTAGATCAACAGGGCAAGTCCGGATACCCTCTTCAACCTCCAAAGGCACCTAATTAAGGCACCTTATTAGTCACACCAGCCCTCTGTAACATGCAGTCCTGTCCTCCCTCTCTCTCTCTCCCTCCCTCTCTCTCTCTCTCTCTCTCTCTCTCTCTCTCTCTCTCTCTCTCTCTCTCTCTCTCTCTCTCTCTCTCTCTCTCTCTCTCTCTCTCTCTCTCTCTCTCTCTCTCTCCTTCCTTCCTCCCTCCCTCCCTCACTCCTTCCCTCCATGTATCTAGCATTTTCTGGAGAATTCTTTATGCCTGATATCTAGAATTTCCTGGAGAATCAGTGTACCCATTATCTAGAGGTTTCAGGAGAATCAATATATCTAGAGGTTTCAGAAGAATCTGTATGCCCGTGTATTTGGAAGTTTGGGTTTGGGGTTGGAAAAAGGAGAGGTGGGGGGGGGGGGGGGGGGGGGGGGGTAATGTATGCCTGTTTATCCAGAGAATTGTGGAGAACTGCATATTTGCCTATATATTTTAGGATTTCCTTGTGAACTGTCTGTGTGTATAAATGCGTCTAGGATTGTCTGGGAAATTCTGTATGTATCTTTCTTTATCTAGCATGCACAATGGCTATATCCTAAAGGGCATTCACTGTGGGCAGAAGGCAGTGGTAGAAAAATTGGACATCTGTAGCAACACATATAAATGTTGGGTATTGACACCACAACCTGAGAAAACAAAGAGATGGGGTTGTGCAGTAGGGAATCAGAGAAAGGTTATACAGCCCCTTACTATCCCATGGTCATAGATGATTTGAGATCCAGTGATCGATCAGTTTGTCACTCCTTTCTGCTACCTAAGATTTACCATACAATCCCGAGATTTAAAATCCTAATCTAGACGGCAGACCAACAAGGCAGATCCGAGAACCCTGTTCAGCCTCTAAAGTAAGGACTGTGTGACCCAGAAAGGAGAAAATTGTAGGTAATGGAGGGTTAAGACAGAGGGCGTAATTTGAAAATTGCTTCTGTGGCTTAGTATCATGGAAGATTTAAAACCGAGCGAAAAGTAAATCAGCGATTTTCTTTTCTGTGTACCCACATTTCAGCAGTATTAACTGTATATTGTGCAAATTTCTGCAGTACCTACACTCGATGATGATGCTGCAGCAGCAACAGAGCATTAGCCCCAGCCCTGACCATGCGGACAGGTTAGGGAAGATTGAGATGGCCCTGGAAGCTCTCAGAAATATCATTAAAGCTAGTCCAGGTAAGTGGGGGGGGGGGGGGGGGGGTGGCAGCAGCCCTGACCATGCGGACAGGTTAGGGAAGATTGAGATGGCCCTGGAAGCTCTCAGAAATATCATTAAAGCTCGCCCAGGTAAGTGGGAAGGGGGTTGTTGTTGTTGTTTTGTTGTTGTGTGCGTGCATGCGTGCGTGTGTGGGGGTGTGGGTGGGTGGCAGCAGTCCTGACCATGCGGACAGGTTAGGGAAGATTGGGCTGGCCCTGGAAGCTCTCAGAAATATCATTAAAGCTAGCCCAGGTAAGTGGGAAGGGGGATTGTTGTTGTTGTTGTGTGTGCGTGCGTGCGTGTGTGGGTGGCAGCAGCCCTGACCATGCGGACAGGTTAGGGAAGATTGGGCTGGCCCTGGAAGCTCTCAGAAATATTATTAAAGCTAGTCCAGGTAAGTGGAAAGGGGAGGAAGCATAGTGTAGCGGCTAGCCGCTCGTCTGCGGATCCAAAAGTCGTGGGTTCAGGTTATGACAGTGCTGGGTTTTTGTGTGCCCATAATGATCTCAGCTACTAGGTTGACACAGGTTTAAAATTGGTACCAGGTGAAATCCTGGGAATTATAGGAGGCCAAAGTGATGTTAACCCACAGAAGGCCGATTGGTCTATTAAATACACCTCAAGGCATGGAACAGGGTTCTTTACTTTAGTTAGGCTGGGGATGTAGGTCTAGCTGGCTTTTCATAGTCTGTGTCGCAGTTGAGTGTTGGGATAGTCAGTGCTGTAGTAAAGTGGCAAATAAGGTAATTGTGAGAGGATTGACTTCATTGCACCAGGTTTTATTCTCTAGGGCTCAGTCTCTTTGCCCAGAACAGCTAGTTGCCAGCCGAGAGCGTCACACAGAGCACGACCTACATACCTCTGGCAATGATCCTCAGGGATTTCCATTAAAATTGCACTCTTAAACTGAACAGTGCCGCCGTGAAATGAACCTATGACCTTCAGAGCGCGAGACAAATGGCTTGACTAATTCGCCACGGAGACCCCCCCTAGACTGTGCAGAATCAACCTCTTATGATTCAGTAGTCAGAAAGCCAGTTAACTGACATGCTGTGTGGAGAACTTCAAGCAAGGCAGGGAACTCAAGAGGCCTTGGTCATCCACTGCATTTCCAAAACCATTTCCAAATCATCTGGATATGGTTCTGTCACTGAATCAAGACGGTCAGAGATGAGAGAATGAGCCTAATGCATTGTGCAACTCTCCCTCGCTTAAATCCAAGGTGGGTCCAGAGGCCCACATTTTTTTTTTCGGGAGAGGGGGGGGGAGGGGTTAGTAGACCCACTGCTCCCCTAAAAAAGCATGTTATAAGTCTACTAACTAGGGGTGGTTTCCTTCAAAGTCAGATTGCATCTGAGTCGACAAATCGACAGTCTGCATACAAATAAACCAGGTCTGCAAAAACAGATATGCACACAAAACTCAAGTTCTGGAACAAGACCAAAGTCCAGAAGTGGATGAACAACCAGAACTTTCTGTCGGAGTTTAGAGACAGTTAAGGCTATGAAGTAGAAGAAGAGAAATCCATGTCAATTGTGCAAGTCACTTTCATCCAGTTATCATACTTGTGGATGTTAAGTGGTCTTCATCACTTATGATGAATGAACAACACACACAGAATGGTAGTGCTGTTAGTATTTTAGCAGTGTAGTAATGATGCTAGTGTTACAATAGAGTAGTAGAGTAGTCAGTATTGAAGTAGATTGACAGTGTTTTTTGGTGTTACATGCAGTAGAATGGTTGTTAGCGTTACAGTAGAGTAGTAGTGTTCTTAATATTGCTATGCATTGGAATTGTAGTGTTTCAGTTTCAAGAAAGTAATGTGCAGTCTTTGTTACTGCAGAGTAGTCAGTGTTACAATAGTAAAGTATTGTGTTACATACAGTATATAAACATCTGCAGATATCTCACACACAAAAACATCTCCAAATTTGTGAAGTTGCACACCCTGCCTTGTTTTTCAGCTTGGAGAAGAGAAGGAGAGTTCTACAGCACACTCCCCAAAGAGATGGTAGTTAATTTATACATGTTATATGTGACAATAAAGAGGTACTTTGAACAAATAACTGATTTCTATTCCTCAGGTGTGGAGATCCAGTGTATTGGACACTTCAAGTTATTATTTGCCTTATTGCGTATGGAAGAGTTCTCCAAACTACAGCAGTTTACAGTCGAGGTACTAGTCCTTGTCTAATTTGTACTTTTTCTTCTTCTTCTTTCTCTTCTTAGCATTCATCTGCTGTAAACTTTGGCGGAAAGTTCTGGTGGTTCATTACTTCTGCACTTTGGTTTTGATCTAAAACTTGAGTTTTTTTATTCTCCAAAATAGAGCTCTGGAACCCACACGGGGAGTCTATTCTTCTTCATCTTCGCGGTCACCGTCAAAAAGTTTTGGTTGTTCTTCCACCTCTGAACTAAAGTCTTTTTTTTTCCCAGAGCCTGAGTGTTGCATGCACATCCATTTTACAGATCTGACTTATGTGTATGCAGACTGTTGGTACCTCTGACTTCGAAGGAAGCTCCCAGTTAGTCGACTCTTGCAACATGCTTGTTGGGGAGGCAAAGGGGTCTGTTCTTTTTTCCCCCTTACAATCGGGATCTGGAATCCACACTTCGAGATGGGGAGTATAATTTCATATTGTAATTGTTTTTGTGTTAAAAGTGGATAGTGGCCATATGAATATCTATAGCCAATATGGTGTTGGCCATGTTAAATACTAATTTTTACTTGTCTGTACAAATCTAGGTTAACACCACATGCCCAGTATGTGTCAAAGAGTATATCAGAGTTCCTTATACTTTTTCAACAAAATACATAATCCACTGTGTCAGCAATGAAACACCTGTAACCCACGAGGGAAACATTACCAATCTGAATCTAATCATTGAAAAAATTGGCCAGGACGGAAAGGTCTCAAATAGATTCAGAATGATGAAGAAGAAGAGACAGAAAGAGTTGAGTCTGCATTCTTTTTAGTTTTTTAGTATTTCAGAAACTCGTTGTGCTTCTTTTTTTTTTTCACATTTTTATAAATGATGTATTGCATCACATTAATAATCTGCTATTTCTAAAAACAGGTGATCAACAGTGTCACAGGAAATCAGGAGTGTGTCAAGGACATTGCTGCCTCTGAAGTTTTGGGTTATCTTTTGTTCTCCCTTCAAAGTGTTCCATCCTGTAAGTTTCCCCGATTTATTTGGTTTGCATTTATCGTATTTGTTTGATTGATGGTGTTACGAGAGTGAAGTATCCACATAGTTCAGTCCCCTGGGTGTGAACATGCCCAAAGTTAAAATAAAGGGATTTTCAAGATGGCACCATTATGCACATCAACCGAGGCGACTGTTATTGGGCTGAGATGGAAAATAAATATTTAGAAAAAGCAGTAAAGATGCACAGCTAATTAAAAAATAGATTCAAAATCAGATGGAAAGAAATTTGATCAAAGTATCGTTTATACTTCAGATTATACATAGTATATAAACGGATATACGATCAAACTGTTGTTGGTTCTATTGGAATTGGAACTTTGCGCTTGCTACTGAAGATGGAGAGATAGCAAGATAGAGGAGGAAAATGTGAGTAAGATTGTTCCAGCATTTTGTCATGGCATGTAGGGTTTTCAGCACATGACGATTCAAGCTGTTAGAGATTGCAGATAGTGGAGAGGCGTGATCACCCATGCCAGTCGACAAGGCACTTGATAGTGATGGTACATTAAAAGAAAATAAGAAACAAAGCTAGGAAAGTTTTGTATGGTATGATGTTACAAGGTATTTTCTTTAAGTGAGCAAACCATTTGATTTGCCATCTCAAAGCTAGGAAAGTTTTGTATGGTATGATGTTACAAGGTATTTTCTTTAAGTGAGCAAACCATTTGATTTGCCATCTTTGTATACAGTTTAGAATTCATTTTTTGCCAATTTTTTTTCACTTATAACCTCATTCCTGATTTTATTGTCTCTTCTGGTCACTCCTGCAGCCCTTCTTAGACATCTCATTTCCAAATCTATCACATTTCAGTTATTTCTGTCACATTTAAGTTATTCAAATATATCATGATCACAGCTGAAATATGAGATTTAGCTGTCATAGTTTTTTGTTAATATTTCTTCTCTGCTGCCTTGCAGGTCGTTTGCTGACTCTGGAAAGTTTGTTTGCTCTCATGTCCAACACCAAGATCGTTAAAGAGGCCGTTGTTAAAGGTGAGTTGATATGTGCCGGAATTCTTGGACAGTATTTTTAATGTTTGCTGGGCAAGTGGTGGTTTTTTTTGGGGTTGGGGGGGGGGGGGGGGGGGGGGCTGATGAATAACAGTAATTTGCACAAGCAGGAACCTCGTCATATACAAATTAGGATTTTTTTTTTTTTTCAAAATCCTCAGCCTTAACTCTTTCAGTCCCAGGGTGTTTAGCATTAGAGACCCAAAGGATAGTCAAGAGAGACAGAATCAACGCATCTTGCATTCATTAGACTTTAAGGTAGGAACCTATAAACCCACGATGCATTCCTTGAGACTGAAGGAGTTAACCAAAGATCAAACACACTCTGTGATGTTTGAGGTGAACATTCTGACCTCAGCACAATTTGATTTAGACAAGAAGAAAAAATACTTACTTAACCCCGAGAATGCTTTGGAAAAAAAAGTTATGAACCCATGGAAATTTCTGAAAACATGTCCTCTAAGAAACAGCTATTTTACACAGTAACTAATAAATTGTTTGACAATTCATTTATTGATATTATTTAATTTGTGTTTCGGCATACGTAAATATATATAAAGTCAGTAAACAAGATCAGAGTGAAGCATTAGATGGAATGCGTTTCTTAGGGGGGAAAAAAACAGATATGTATCGAGTGACACATGCCGTGACCCTGTGACATTTACACTAAGGATATTGGGCAAATTTTAAGTTAATCTGGCTGTTAAAAAGCTGTTGGGTTCACAAGGAAACTCCCTCTAAATGCTAATATTTAGTTAATTTATTCACCTTCAGGTCTCCTAAACACTACCTGGTTGCCCATATAACCATGACATTTGACTAGACTTTTCAAGAACAACTCGCTGCAGAAACGGCCATATATCAGCATTTGCAGCGCTGTGTTACAATTGAAGGTGGCTAGATTTAGTTTTCTCTGGGCAAAGGGTTGAATCACTGTGATCCAGTTACAATTTTGAGGGGTGTTAAGATGAAGGGGTTGAGTTCATTGCACTGGGGTTTATCCAATATGGCTCATTCTTTCCCTGCATAGATCTAGTGCATACTGCAGGTGTCACACAAGGCATCAAGCTTTGTAGATCCTGTGAAAACCATTAGAATTTTTTAAAAATTTGATATCGCAAACCAGACTTCTTCTTCTTCTTCTTTCGTTCGCCTGAAATAAGTTATCTATATCAGCAGTTTTGTCTCTTGTATAAATATTACTGTCGTTGTTAGTTCATTCAGTGGTCCATAGAGTTTACGTTCCACTGTTGTTCTTTCTGGCCAAAAGGTTTGCCTTAATGTGTCAAAATCGGTGCAGTCCTGGAGTACATGCTCTGCGGTCTGGGGCACATTTCCACAGGTACACATGGGTGATACACCTATCTTGAATTTTGTGTACATGTGGTTACATAATCGGTTGTGCCCTGTTCTGAGTCGGAAGATAATGACTTGTTCTGGTCTGTCCATAATAAAATAGTCGTCTTGTGCTGGGGCTGGTGGTTTCCTGATCGATTTAATGATTCTTTTCTTTCGGTGGTATGTGACTGGTACATCTGGCTGCTCTTTTTTCGCACCTTCCCCTGCCAGTTGATCAGCTTTCTCATTTCCAGGCACTCCACAATGAGACGGTATCCACTGCATTACGACTCTTCGCTGAACGCTGAGTTGTGTCAGCAGTGTTTGCAATTCTGGTAGTTTCCTAGACTGGAGTGCTTTAAGTACTGATTTAGCATCTGTAAGCATTACCACATACTGTGAGCCAAGGTTGGTATTTAGCAGTTTCTCTGTAGCTATCTTAATAGCCTGGGTTTCTGCATCGTAGTTATGGCAGTACTTCCCGGTTGGTACGCTGGACTTATCCCTAGTACCATCTGGGAATTCGATGTACACTCCAGCACCACCATTTCTAACTGCACTTTCTGCGGACCCATCTGTATAGACTCTGACCCATTGTTCTTGTGGGTATTCTTCATCAATATAACTGAGGGTGGCCATTTTGCGTTGTACACTATCTTGCTCTTTCTTGTCAAATATCCCTTTCACATTTGTCTGGATTTGTACCGTTAGTTTACATTTTTCTCTCCATGGGGTTTGTTCCGGAATACTTTTAAGTGGGCAGCCAATTTCTGAAAGGTCTGGAGTTTGTCTACATATTCTTTTTGCTTGGTGTTTAAAGCTGCTTCTTTTTAACCGTCCCAAGGCTAGGTTCTTAAATCTATTTTCCATCGGGTGATCTGGCATACTGAGGAACTTTTCAGCTTGTATTTGCAACTTTGTATCTCTGCGTTCTCTCAGTGCCTGTGTTTTCCCAGCTTTCTCCATTTCTAATATGGGGGTTGATTTCATCCCTCCTGTGATGACTCTGAGCGCTTGATTTTGCACTTTGTCTAACTCCTTTAATGTGGTACTAGATGCTGAACACCATGCAGTTGACCCATATTCCAAGTGTGGAAGTATGCTCTGCTTGTATACTTTATTGAGTATTTTCCCATCTGCTCCCCATGTGGTTCCACTTAGTTTTCTTAGTATTGCTGTCTTCCTCCTGGCTTTGGTTGCTGCCTTGTTGATATGTTTTCTCCATGTCAACCTGTCATCAAATGTGACTCCTAGGTATGTGGGCTCTTTATCATCTCTCAGGGGTATTTCGTTTATTTTGATGGTGCCGGCTTTTTGCTTTAGGGAGAGGATGAATAGTGTGGTGCTACATTTGTCTGTGTTGATGCTGACACACCATCTATTGGCCCATGCCTCAAGTGCATTTGTAGCCCGCTGTAGTGTTTTTGTGGCTATCGTTGCATGTTCATTGGTGCACCACAGTACCAGGTCGTCGGCATACATTGCCATTTTGATTCCATTTGGTATCTCAGCAACCAGATCGTTGATAAATAAAAGGAAAAGTGTGGGCGACAGGACACCACCTTGAGGGACGCCTTGTCGCAGTAGAACTTTTTTACTTTTAAAACCATCTACCTGTACCCGGGCTCTTCTTTTATGTAGATATGCCTTAATCTAATTGTACATTTTTCCATTTATTTTATAGTTTCTCAATTTCTTCAAAAGCCCCTCCTTCCAAACCTTATCAAAAGCTTTTTTTAAATCTATCCATGCCGCGAGTACCAGTTTCTTATCTTGAAAAGCATCCTCTATTTCTTGGAAGAGGTATGTTGTCTGGTCTTCCGTAGAATAGAACTTTCTAAAGCCCGCCTGCTGTGGTGTAATGATGTTTTCACTTTCAATGTACCACTGTAGTCTGAGGTTGGTGATGCGCTCCATTGTTTTACAGAGACAACTTGTGAGGCTGATTGGTCTGTAGTTAGAGGCATTAGAACTGTCTTTCCCAGGCTTTATGAGGGGTATCATAATTGCCTCTCTCCAGATCTGTGGAACATTCCCTGTTGCCCAGCAAGCATTAAATATCTGTAAAAGCTTTGTTTTGGCTACTTTTCCTAAGTTTCTGATCATTTCGTTTGATATACCATCTGCTCCTGGTGACTTCCGCATTTTCAGCTTTGAAATGGCTAACTCCAGTTCATTAAGTGTAATTGGCACCTCTAGCGCCTCTGATGTTATTTCTTTCTGACTTCTAAATTGTGTCTTTTCTTGAATTTCGTGTTTTTTCTCTGAACTGATTTCAATGTCGTTATCTAAAGCAAAAGTGTCCGCAAATAGGTTGGCTGCCTCTTTTCCTGTGACCATGTTTCCATCTTTCTGCAGCGTGATCTTTGAGTTCCACCCTGTGTCCTCATCATTAATTTGTTTCACAAGCTTCCATAACTTTCTTGTGTCTTTTTCAAAGTTCAGCGACCTTGTTTTCTCCTGCCAGCTTTCCCTTCTAACCTGCAGCTTTGCCCTTACAAATTTTGCTTTTGCATGCTGGTAGTTATTGTGATGTTCTTGGTTTGGCCTGGTCTCTGCTATCTTTCTGGATGTTTCTACTTCGTTATGTAAATTTTCTAGCTCATTACTCCAGTATGGCTTATAATGCTTACGGGCACCTCTTGGTATTGATTCTCCTGCTGCCTTTAGTACGCATTTGTTAAATTCTTTAACTACTTTGTTTATATGCAAACCAGACGATTGAAACTGAACCAGTGAGCTTAAAAAATATGAGGCAAACAATTTGTTCTCTTCAGCATGAATCATCATTATCATCAGGTGCCTTGTCGACTGGCGTGGGCGATCATGCCTCCCCATAATCTGCGATCTCCTGCAGCATGTATCAGTTCGTGTGCCGACACACCTCCATGCCATGCAACAAGACTGTCAAGCATCTTCTCTCATTGTCTTCCTTATTCAGCATAAATATCCATTTATTTTATTTTTTTATATTTGTATTAAATGCTACAGTGATGCCTTATTTTATGCTTTTATTTTTCACAGTAGTACTTGTAATTCTTTCATATTCTTTCTATCAGGAGGCCTAATATACCTCCTAGACCTGTTTTGCAACTCTACCAACCCTGCCATCAGAGAAAAAACTGCTGAGCTCTTCGCCAAGATGTTATCAGATAAACTTGTGGGTCCAAAGGTTCGAATCCTGCTTAACAAGTTCCTGCCTCCCATCTTCATGGATGCTATGAGAGATTCAGCAGAGGCTGCAGTTCATATGTTTGAAGGTAAATAGTTCAGATCACATGTTCAGATTTTCAGAATGAATACCTTAATATAATTTCTGCAGAGGAACGAAACTCTGATTCTACAAGAGCATCATTTTGCCAGTTCTTCTTTATGGAGCCGAATGCTGGAGAATGACCAAAAAGGATGCACACAAGCTGTCCACCTTCCACCACACATGTCTACGTAGAATTGTCAAAATTTTCTGGCCAGATACAATCTCAAATACTAAACTACTTCAAGTCACAAACCAAGCAACTTTAGACAGTATGATAACCAAGAGAAGATGGAAATGGCTTGGCCACGTTATGAGAATGAATCCTGATATACCCGCCAAAACAGCTCTCACATGGACACCAAAGGGAAAGAGAAAATGGGCGCCCAAAAACAACATGGAGACGAACGATGGAAAGTGACCTGATTGCAGCATCTTTGACATGGAAAACTGCACTGAAGATTGCGCAGGACAGGAAAGCATGGAAAGTCCTCTCTGAGGCCTCATGTGCCACTAGGCATAACGAGAACTGATGATGAATCCCCATACAATAAAATGATTCCTGGACTCAAACCCTAAAAATGCTAAATGAAGAACATAGTTTTTTTATTCCTTTTATTTTTTGTTTTTCCAAAATATTTTCTTACCATTGGTACTTTAGGCATATGGTGCTAGATCCATATATTTATAGACCACTCTGCACTTATAAGGGTATTGGCACTAACATTAGGTAGTTTCAGTATTCCTCTGTGACACCACATTTCTGTGGCTTTGAATATTTATTTTGGTACTATTTCTGAGACTCATAGCAATATGATATATCCTGTGGCCAGGAACAACATTCGTCATCTAGATTTCTGAAACTCTAATCTTGTTCAGAGTAGTTTCATTGAAACTGCACACATTTCTCCTGGCAGCCAAGAAAAGTGTATGGAGAAGGGGAGGTGAACGGGGGTGTGTCAACACACATACACATGACCACACACATGCACGCACATATGCACACACGCACACAAGGCAAGGTTTTTGTCATGATGGAACTGCCATGTTATCATTGCCCAGTGGTCTTCTTCTTCTTATCTCTATAGAATGCCTCGCAATGTCAGGACAGGAAGAGATCTCTAGAACAGACCCTTCTGTTCACTTTGTATAAAGTACTTTTCAGTATCTGATATTTCTATGGTCCATCTTCTGTGTGGTCAACCTTTAGTTCTGTTACCGCTCTATCTGTACAACACTGCTCTCTGTGGTGCCCTGTCTGATGCCAGTCTTGTTACATGGCCAAACCATTTGATCTGTTGTCTACCTATAAAGTTCAGTATTGGTTCTGTGCCAACTCTCCTCCTGATATCATCGTTCCTAAGTCGATCTTTCCTCATTACACCCAGCATGGTAGGTAAACATTTCATTCCTTTTTGACTATTTTCCTTCTGTCTTCTGAAGACAGTGTCCATTTTTGACATTTGTACACATGCCCAATGGTCCAGGGCTGAATATAACATTCTCATTGGTCAGGCACTAAACTTTCTGAGAATGCATCTTTGTGATTTTGTCTTTCAGTGCTCCCCAAGCTGAAAATGCAGTCTGTCCAGATATTTCATGGAAAACGATGGCCGTTTATATTCCATTTCTAAAGAAGGCATTTTGACATGCTTCCAAAACTAGAGGGACTAATGTGAGAAGTGTGCCATCCCAAGTGAACTTCTTTGAAGGAAATTAGGGTTTCCAGTCTCCAGATGAGTAACTGTATTTTTCCTAGCCACACACCAGATGCTTCTTTTTTAACAGAGCTCATGTGTGTTCTCTGTGTGTACGTGCAAGTGTGTATACAGTACACTGACATATACACACGCCCCCAGAATCTCAGCACACACATATATAGTAACTATTATTATTTGTAATGATTGCTAGGCACACATGAGAACCCAGAGTTGATCTGGAATGATGATGCTAGAGAGAAAGTCTGCAACACTGTCAAGAGACTGAGAGAGAAGTAAGTGGAATAGTTTCTGCATGTGAAAAATGCTGGGAAATTAACTTTTTTTTTTGGCTTGTTTTTTCTCAAGACTCAGCTAATGGGCAAAAGCCCTAAGTGTTTCTTTAAGTCTCTTTTTCTTCTCCCCCTTCTTTTTCTTAGCATTCACCAGCTGTAAACTCTGGCGGAAATTGTTGCTTATTCATCCTCTTCTGGACTTTGGCCTTATTCCAGAACTTGGGTTTTGCTGTTGGTTTCTTGCTAGACCTCTGCTGATGTAAGACAGGGCCTGCGTGCCCAATTTGTGACCCTTTAAAAATAAAGTTTATTCGTTCATTCGGCCGATCTACCAGCTGAATAGCCCTTATGTTTAAAATATATTGCCTTCACCAAAGTCATACATGGCACCTGTAAATTAAATGCCAGTATCTTATTGGATCCGCTCAAATTTGATGGCAACCCTATTCCGGAACTCCGCTACACAGATGACACAGTCCTCCTTTCGAACAGCGTAAAGGGAATAGCAAATTTAATATTGTCTGTCCAAAAGCACAGTGAAGATCAAAATCTGTTCTTGAATTTAAAGAAAACGAAAATAATGTCCACAGATAAAACTGGCTGTCACCCAAAAATAACAATAAATGATGATGAAATTGAAAATGTCACAAACTTTAAATATCTAGGCTCTATAATAAACAACAATGGAGACTGTTTGACAGAAATTAAAAGGAGGATGGCCATAGCAATGCAAAGATTGAACAGCCTTAAAAGTCTATGCTTAAGCACCAGCAAGGAGATAAAAATTAGAATTTTGAGAGCATGCATCTTCCCTGTGGCTACATAGGGATGTGAGTCGTGGACTATTTCTCAGTCCTTAAGAAAGAGAATAGGGGCTTTTGAGCTGAAATGCTATAGAAAGATTCTCAGAATATCTTGGACAAAGAAGAGTAGAAATATTGACATCTTAAAAGATCTGAACATCAAGGAAGATTGGCTAATAAACAGCATCCTTTCTCGAAAGCTGAAATATTTTGGTCATATCAAGCGCCACGACGGATTGGAAAAAATTATAGCAGAAGACATGGTACCAGGAAGGAGGGGCAGAGGCCGACCGACACGAAGATGGGCACAGGATAAAAAGTGACTCCTTGAGTGTAAAAGTTCATGAGGCGGGAGAACTGGCAAGAGACCGAGTTTCTTACAGGCAGACTGTGATGAGAGCGACGTTCTGCAAAGAACCTGCTACATGATGATGATGATCTTATTGGAATTACTAACCTTTAAATTCAATTTCCCCCTAAATGAGCCTGAAAAAGGACAAAAGAAACCATACCCCCCCCCCCCCACACACACACACAAACACACAGCACAATCACTCCCACACACCACATACATATAGAGTTAGAGAGAAAGGATGCAGAATTGCATATGCAAAATTGTGGTGTACAGTTTTACACTGAATAGAAAATAGGTACAGGTTTAAAAAAAAAAAAAATTTTACCACCACTACTGTACTTAGGGCCTCCCATGTTTCCATCTAAAACTGACAGGTAAATCCATCCAGTCTACTTTTCTGCAATGTTCCAATCTTAGTTTCCATGTTGTTTTAGTTACTTTTAAATGAAAGACATATGTAACTTCTAATGTCTGACATTAGTTTTTTTATTGTTTGTACTTGCTCGTCCGGGTGCGGTGGTGGCACAGTGTCTAGATGCTTGCCATTTGACCTCACTGGTCTTGGGTTTAAATCTCCGTTGAGGTGGTATTTTATCATTCTTTTTATCCCTTCACTGGAAAGTTCAGGTTGTTCATCCACTTCTGGACCTTAGTCCTGTTCAAAAACTTCAGTTTTGCATGCACATCAGTTTTTATAGATTTGACTAATTTGGAAGCAGACTGTTGGTTCCTTACCTCTCAGACAGATGTATCCCCCGACTTTCAAGGAAACACTCTTAATTGGTCAACTTTTATGACATACTTGATAGGGAGCAGTGGGTCAATTTTGTTTTATATGTGGTTTGGGAACCCACACAAGGATTTTTATAATTGATTTTGGCTCTTAGATCAACCCAGTCTAAAATAGGTTTTAGGAATTGTCCTGGGAAGTAAAGGCAGCTGGCATGATGTTGACTACATTCATCTGTCTAGTACCACTTGGTTGATGAAAAATCAGTCTGGCACCATATGTTCAGTGTGGGCATGAGAAGAATCATGTAGATGGTCTCATCGATTTATGACCGAGGTCCTTTCGGACTAACATGTTGCAAGTCAAATTGGTTGTAAGTTTAATTAATATTTTTTAACACTGTTTAATTTCAAATGGGTTATAAAAATGGTACATAAAACACACATTCAATCTATGTGCATATAATTAGTGTACATAATTAAATACAATTATGTACTCCAGCGGTTCTCAAACTGGGTGCCACGAGTATATGCCAGGGGTGACACTGCAGTAATGAAAAATTCCTCCAAACAGTTTTGTTTATCGCACTCTCTTTTCTTCTTTTCCCAAGTTTTCAACAGCTGTGCCATGAAAAATTTTTAGCCCGACCAGGGTGCAGCACCGAAACAAGTTTGAGAACTGCTCATGTACTGCATTCAGTTCTGGAAACTGCTTTTTTTTTTTTTTTTTACTGTCAGTAAAATCTTTCTTTATTTACTATTTTTTTTAATTTATTTTTTGTCATCACAGGTGCGGTTAGTCATAACTCACATAGGTCATATTTCGAGGAGAAGGTGTAATTTCTGGGAAATTGTTTTAGCCCTATCAATGTAGTTATCTTTCTTTATTTACTATTTTTATTTATTTATTTTTTGTGATCACAAGTGTACAGTCGTAAGTCACATAGGTCATAGTTCCAGGAGAAGGTGTAATTGATTTTTATTGCATGGTCATCTGCTAACATGGTAGTGTGAATGTGACTTCCACAGGCACTTCCAGGCACAGAAGGAGGACATCAGTGCCAAATGGAGCATGAGGGAAGACTTTCAAGTTGTCTACTCAGACGTGCAAGGAGAGGTTGTGGTGGGAGGAGTTTTCCTACGGCTGTTTATCTCCAACCCTGGCTGGGTCCTGCGTCGGCCTAAGGAGTTTCTGACTGAACTGCTGGAACAGTGGTCGCAGGCTACTGTCGCAGTTGCCTTTAATGTGAGTGCATTAATGTGTTTGTGAAAATTAATTCTTTCATCTGCTTAGGGAGATATTTCTTCCATCCTCTTGGTGAAGTAGTTCTTTCACCTGCTTGGTGGAGGGGTTGTTTTATCTGCTTGGGGGAGTGGTTCTTTCATATGCTTGGGGGAGTGGTTCTTTCATATGCTTGGGGGAGTGTCTCTTTCATATGCTTGGTGGAGTGGTCCTTTCATATGGTTGGTGGAGTGGTCCTTTCATATGCTTGGTGGAGTGGTTCTTTCATATGCTTGGGATGGAGTGGTTCTTTCATATGCTTGGTGGATCGGTTCTTTCATATGCTTGGTGGAGTGGTCCTATCCTCCTATTGGTGGAGTGGTTCTTTACTCCTCTTGGTGGAGTGGTCCTTTCCTCCTCTTGGTGGAGTGGTCCTTTCCTCCTCTTGTTGGAGTGGATTTTTTTTCCTTTGCTTGGTAAAGTGGTTCTTGCATCTGCTTGGTAAATGGAGGTTGAGACGGTAACTGTGACATTCCAGTTTGGTGGAGAATATCTCAGCCACACATATCGTCATAGTATTGGATTCGCAAAGCATGTTGAAGAAGGTGGAATGAGATTATCATCGTATGAATGGGTCACATCAGTTCAGTCACATAGATATTTGGTAAAGGGGATGTAGGTGTGCTTGGGAATGAGTAGGCAGATAGGTTGGTTAAACTGGCCCCACTTGGAGGTGGTGGGGGGGGGGGGGGGGGGGGGATAATGAAACTTTACAAGGCAGAGGTGATCTCTTGCCTGTGGGAAAGGTAAACAAGTAAAATTGAGAGATATGGAAAACCTGTACCTCGTGAGAATGATGCAGCAAGGAGTGTCTGCGGTGCTCCGGGCACCACTTGAGACTCAGGAGGAAGGCAAGACGAGTAGTTAACCAGATGACTACAGGTACCATCAGTATAGTAGCTCTTTGCTGACTGTTCAGGAGGAGGAGGGAGACGGAGCTGATATTGGCTTGTCCTGAATGGTCTGATGTCGATTTCTTTACCTAGATGGAAATCACAGCCAATGGCAATGGCAATTATGATAAACAGGACCCACTAGCGTTTTGAAAATTCTTCAACAATTAGAGCATGGGATGAGCATGGGATGAGCATGGGATTTCAGGACCATTGTTGATCAGTGTCCTCATTTTTTAACAGATAAATGGTCCTATTATCTTTATCTTGGGTAAATCAGTGATAAAGTATTTATTTTAGAAGGATCAGTGATTGGGTTGTCTATATTTTTTACAGATAAATTATTATCTACACTTTTATTGCGTAAATAATTTTATGGTGGGTTTAAAAAAAAAAAAATCAGGCATTTTTATATGTTCTAGGCATTATTTCTAATATGGTTATTTTGTATCTCTTTCAGGGTGAAATGTTAGAGACCTTGACCACGGCAGTTGTCTGCCTGTTTCAGGCCAATAGTTCACTTCTAGATCAAGTCCCATCACTAGGCTACATCCCACGAGTCTTTACAGCCATGGTGTCTAAAAATAACGCTGTCCCGAAATCTGCCATCCAGGTTGCTCACCAGTTAAGCTATAGTGAGGTATTGACGCTACATGTCTGCCTGCTGTAAATGCTTACAATGTTTTTGTTTTTAGAGCTGTATTTTGAGTGATCAACTGGCAAATATGAAGTGTTATGCTAGTGTCAAGTCTGTTTTACTGTTCTTTTTTTATATTTAATTTCTTCTTCTACTTTTTCTCCTCTTTTTCTTCTTCTGCTTCTTATTATTATTATTATTCTCCTCCTCCTACTTTTCCTCCTGCTTCTGCTGCTTCTCCTGTTTTTCCTCCATCTTCTCCTTTTCCTCTGTCTTCCACTTACACATTCAGAAATCATCATTTGGTTTAACTTTTTAAAAGCCACAGTTGGCATGAGCTGTAGAGTTTGTCCTCAGAAGATCATTTTCAAACTCTACAACACATTTCATAAATCATGAATTGTTTTACATGTTTTAGGAAGGTTAGAACTCATTTCCACATCTTGAGTTGAACTGAGCACATGGTCTCAGTCACATGTTTTTAGAGACTAATTAGTACTTGCAGAATCAGAAGTTCAACAAATGATTTATAACGATTCTTGCCCAGGTGTTGCGATCATCAGTACAGATGGCTCTGTGTTAAGAGACAGACGAAATGCATAGGGGGTTCATAGCAAAAGTGAATGGACCTCGTTTAGTAACAGCAAAGCTTGGCATATGATATCACAACATGTAGTTTGAGAATGGAGATTGAGGCGGTCATTGCAGCCATCAGCTGTCTTGAGAACCAGCTGTACACACATTGTAATTGTAACCGACCCACAGAACATGTTGAGAAAGGAGGAGACAGATATGCTGCATGCAGAGTGGCAAGCATCATTTCAGAAGTCCCAGAGTTAGCATCTCTTTTGGATATGTTCTCATGTCGGTGTGTTGGGAAATGGACAGGCAGATAGACTTGGTGGTGAATTTATGCATGACAAGCTAGATGTTGTCAGAGTCCTTTGGGAGCGAGTGAAGAGTGTGAAGGCACAAACAGATCATCACAGTCTGATCAGAATGATGCTGCTAAACACTCAAAGGAAAGGCGAGATGGCTGTACAATCAGACTGTTACTGGTACCATCGGAAATGGAACTGTGCTTGCTGCTGAAGATGGGGACAGAGCGCTTAGGGGAATGTCCCGAGTGATGTGATGTTGATTATTAATTTAACATGCAGCATTGAGTACTTGACCAGTGCTATGGTAAATGTCACCTTTACTTTCCAGAACGTTTTTAATTTGACATACTTTCCATATTCATAGTTTGAAAATCATTTTTCTTTCTTTTTAATTGTATCATACTACTTTTTCTTATAGTCACTCCTATGTGACTGGTTTGTTTCATTGTGTTTTTCATGGTGATCTGTCTCGTGTGCTGCTAATCATCTCGAGTATAGATGTTCCTCCATTCCATGATGGTAGATGTTCCCTCCCTTGGTTTCCACCTGCATCTGTCATCCATTGCCATTTGTTGTTGTTGTCATGACATATTCTAGTTTTCCTTTCCCTCATTATTTTGTCATATTGATCGTGTTAATTCTACTTCTTCTTTTATCCTACTGCCTGTGCTCTAGAGCATCACAGAGAAGAGTTACTTGTAGTTTCTTGTGTTTTGCTGGATGTGCAGCTTGTGTTATTGTCATATTGCATTTCTGTAGTGTCTCTTTTACCCCTTCCACCCATCTTTTTCTTGGTCATCCTCTTGGCTTGTAGCTTGTTGAACTTATGTAGTACGCTGTAGCTACTGTCTGACTTTGGTGTCTTCTGACCAGATGACCAAAACATTTTTATTCTTTGATGTTCTGTTTTACTAGTACTATACTGTGCCTGCCATATAATGTTAATGATTTGTGTATAATGATGGTACCTCTATGCTACACAGCTGTGTATTCGTGCGATGGCCGTAATTGAAAGTGTTGGTCCCGTGCAGTCAGCCATGAAAGTGAGAAAGGACATGATTGGGCTGGCAGCTGAGGCTCTCTCAAAGATGTTTGACAAAGGAGAGGAGGAGTTGGTCCAACAGGTAGGGGTAACCAGGTGTAACTTCCATCAAATATGATAGCCCATTCTTCACAGAATACTTCCTTTTGAGTTATCCACTTTACATAATGTGGACACAAACAGTGTGTTTTCCAATTTATTATGCAACATGTGTTCTTCTACTTTATCTTTGTCATGTTCAGCAGCTGTAAACTCCAACAGAAAGTTCTGGTTGCTACTTGTTTATCGGCTTCTGAACTTCGGCCTCAGTCCAGAGCTTGAGTTTTGTTTGCACATCTGTTTTGCAGATCTGGCTTACTTATGTGCAGACTTTTAATACCTCGTCTCTGGGGGCAGATGTACTCTGGCTTAAGAGGAATACCCCTTGTTAGTTAACTTTTTTGATGTGCTTGTTTGGGTCGGAGGCAGCAGGTCTATTCATTTTTTGGGGGGGGAAAGGGGGGGGGGACACTTAGCTCTTTGAGTCCCACCAGGGGGTTAAGCATCAGAGGCCCACGGGGTGGTAATGCAATTTTTTTATTTCACAAGTCTAAGACATTAAAACAGACCATACTAATTCAGTTGCCGTGCAACATACACATAGTATACATCAAAGTGACCAGGGATTGTTGATGAATAATTTTAGCATAGATCTACAACAAATAATTTCATTAGTAATTAAAAATTAGTAAATAAACAGACGGTATGTTTACAAAAATTAATGAAAGGAAATTTTTAAAAATTGCCACTAACCACCATGACACTCAAGAAAAACTGGTTAAAATGTATCCAAAATGAATCACAAATGAATGTGAAATACTTAGTAATGTATAAGTAAAATATAATCTCAATCTATACATTAGATGAGAATCTTTTGAAGCATCATAACAGAGCACTATTATTTGGTAAATAAAACTGACTCCCAAAACAATAAGTATCTTTACACAAAACAAAGTTTATAAAACACTCAATTTGCCTGTAATTTTGTAGCTATGTTCCTAATTAATAAGGAGAATAGCACTAGAACTAACTGATACTGAAGAAAGTCATCTTTTCACTAATGTTTATTCTATTTGTGCCAGCTGACTTTGCTATCGTTGTACCCCTTGCGTGAGGTACACATTCGGCATATCCCTCATCAAAGTTTGACTCTATAAATGACTGAAACATGTCTAATTCGCAAAGTTATCTATCTAGCTTCGGATAAATCTAAAAAATACATGCACTTTATTTAAATTTTAGGCTACTAAGGCTGTAAATCAAGTTGGCATGCATGTAGAATAGTGCTTTGTGGTCATATTATTTTCAAACAAACACTTAATAACTCGTGAATCTCACAAATATACTATATTTTCGGCTTTTAACCCACGTTTCTTAATGAGCATGCCTGATATCAGACACAAAGAACTTGGAAGGAAGTTGAAATTGAGCGGTCCACGTTTTACAACCGGTCAGTGGTAGATTAAAAACCTTCACTTGTCACGCGTTGATTGGGCCGCTAAGTTGAAAAAATTAGTGCGTAATGCGTTCCCTGGGACTCAAAGAGTTAAAATAGGACTGAATCCACATGGCAAGTGCATCATATAATGAAGCACAAAACATGAATCCATTCAAATGAAATAGTACAATTCACACTGTCTATTTTTACCCCACAAATTTCACCAAAGGAGGTCTAATATTAACCTTGTAATCGCTGCATAAATCTCAGATTAACAACGTGATCCTTTTGTTTACATCTTTGAGGTTCTGAGGGTTTTTAATGTGCTAGTTAAATTACAGGATTCTTCCATGTTTTGAGGAATGTGGGGCTTATAATACTTGCCCATTATTTTTATTAAAAAATTGGCACTCTGTAGGTAATGTGGTCAGTATCACATTGGTTGCCTTTTCTTTCTCCATAACATTTCCTGGTTCCCAGTTTTCAACTGCACGAGAGGCAAGGAACCAACTGTCTGCATACAAATTAGTCAGATCTGTCAATCGGATGCACACACAACACTCAGGTTCTGGAACAGGACTGCAGTCCAGAAGTGGACGAACAACCAGAACTTTCCGCCAGAGTTTACAGCTGATGAACACAAAGAAGAAGAAATAATAGGTCACATTTCAGTGCCATCTTGACATACTGTGGGTGGAAAACAATATTGTGTGATCTTGACAAAATTAACTTCCCTAGGTGGTATAGCCAGTATCACACTGGCTGCCTGATCTCTGGCAGGAAGTTTCTGATACTCGTTCTGTGAGGCTAAGTCACATCCTGGGCCTCCTCTCAGTCAATCCTAGATATGCGTTGGACTGTTAAAACTTATTTAATGGTTGCAAGTGAATCCGATATTCCCTGCATCATCATCATCATCATCTTTGTCATTATCATCAGATGCCTTGCCGACTGTACTGGGTGATCATACACTTCCACAATCTATGGTCTTGAACAGCATGTATCAGTTTGTGTGTTGACACCCTTTCATGCCATGTCAATAGTCTGTCAAGAATCGTCTCGTGTTGTTTTCCTCTGTCTCTTTCTCCACAGTTCCTTCTAGGTGTCACAGCATGTTCCAGTTTCCTTTTTCTCATAACACGACCAGAAAATGGAGACTGTCTCTTTCAAAACATCTGGGTTAGTCTTTTGGCTATCCAAGGAATTTTAAGGATTCTTCTGTAAAACCACATAGGACCATAACTGACAGCAAGGGATCTTCTTCTTGTGATGATTGAGATTTTGGCAGTGTAGTGTGGCTGACTGTAGCAATGTTTCAATTTCTGCAGTGTAGTGTGGCTAACGGTAGTGATGTTTCAATTTTGGCAGTGTAGTGTGGCTGACGGTAGTGATGTTTCAATTTTTGCAGTGTAGTGTGGCTGACGGTAGTGATGTTTCATTTTTGGCAGTATAGTGTGGCTGACTGTAGTGATGTTTGCAATTTTGGCAGTGTAGTGTGGCTGACTGAAGTGATGTTTGCAATTTTGGCAGTGTAGTATGGCTGACTGTAGCGATCTTTCAATTATGGCAGTGTAGAGTGGCTGACTGTAGCGATCTTTCAATTTTGGCAGTGTAGTGTGGCTGACTGTAGCGATCTTTCAATTATGGCAGTGTAGTGTGGCTGACTGTAGTGATGTTTCCATGTTGGCAGTGTTGTGTAACTTGCTAACTTGTTTTTTCTGGTTTTATTTGTCATTTGGCAAAAAAGGCACTAAAAGTGGATTTGATCCCATACCTGTTGAAACTGTTAGAAAGTGGTTTAGAGGCTATGGAAAATCCGCCTGCTACCAAAGCTCAGATTGTCAAGGCTTTGAAAGCTATGCAGAGGAGTCTGACTCATGGGGAAAGGGTAAGAGTCAAGTGTTCATTATCACCATCACCTGTCTGTGTGCCTGTGTTTCTCTGTCTGTCTGTCTTGTCTTGTCTGTCTATCTGTCCATCAGACTGTCTGTATGTCTTTCTGTCTGTCTGTGTATCTGTCAATTCATCCATCTATCCTTGCATCCATTTGTCTATCTAACAACATGATCCTTGAACCCTTAGGGTCGTGGAGGTGTATGGATGGAAGCACTGGCACACAAAACTCCCCATCTTTCTTGATCTTCCGCTTGAGGAATAAGTGTAAGATAATTTAAATCCTGTCCATTTCTTGATGTTGTCATTCCAGTTTCTTCTTTGCCCTCCTCTTCTTCGACTACCCCAAATGTTCCTTGAAGTCTTTGCAATTGAATCATGTCTTACAACATGTGACGTTTCACCACTGCCAAGAGAGGTTGCTGATGTCCTGCAGATTTGTTTGTTTTGTCTCTGACATATTTGTTTTTGTGTGTGTTCTAAATAACTAATTTGTAAAACGTGTCTGTAACATTTACATTTGATAGCCTGAATCCTTCTCTCCATTTCCACAGTGAGAGTCCATCTCTCACATCTGTATAAGATAATAGACAATACCAGTGATCTGTATATATTGACCTTAACTGCGATGCTGATTTTGCTCTTCTACATCGTATTCAGCTGGGGCATCGCAGCTGTTGCCATATCAAGCCCTGTCTTGATCTCTTTGGCACAGCTGCCATCGTTCCATATGTGGGAGCCCAGATATTTAAAGTTTTAAACTTACTAGTTTTTCACCTTTTTTTTTAATGTTGATAGATACTTGATTATTGTGGCTATCTATTTATTTGTCTGTACTTGTCTGTCTGACTGTCTGTCTGTCTGTCTGTCTGTCTGTCTGTCTGTCTGTCTGTCTGTCTGTCTGTCTGTCTGTCTGTCTGTCTGTCTGTCTGTCTGTCTGTCTGTCTGTCTGTCTGTCTGTCTGTCTGTCTGTCTGTCTGTCTGTCTGTTTGTATCTCTATATTAATGTATGTATATGTTGGTATAGATATTATGTATGTACGTTTATATGTACCTATGTGTGTGTATGCATGCATTTACCATCCACGCCTTTTCTGTTTTTTTTACAGTGTTCATATTATGTTTTTTTTTAAATGAAAATAACATGCGTTGTTGATGAAATGCAGTTGAAGTCTGAAAAATGAGTGATTGGAAGGGCTGAATGTAAGAGATGGCCTTGGGTGCCCAATATGTGACCCTTTGGAAATAAAATGTGTTCATTTGTTCATTCTTTCCTTATGTCTGTCTTTCTGTTAATCATTGTGTCTGTCTTTCCCACCCTCTTCACTGTGTCTCTTCTCTCTTCCCTGTCTTTCCTCATTAAATAACTGGATCAGATAATAAGTAAAAAAGTAAAGTAAAGATCCCTTTTCACGCCTTAGGCACATCGGGTTTATGGAAGAGCGTCCCATATTTTTACAGACCAATCAGCACTGGACGGGTAATGTGGTCAGCATTACGCCGGCCATCTTGACTTCCCCAGGACAGCCATCCTGGTAACCATTTTAGGCTGGGTCAACCTGCGAGGCCCCATACCTTGATAAAAATCCACGCAGCCAGCAGTGGGTTTTGATCGCGGTGTGTTGGATCCTGTTTGTGTTAAAATTCAGACAATGTGTCATGCAGTATCTGTGTTTCCTCTCTTGTACCATTTAGTGTATATGTATTATTTGCCATATTGTATTTTTTGTATGATTAAAGATTGACTTATAACAGGTGTTTTACTCGGAGTGGAACTCAGTATTTCATTCATAACTCGGACACTAATAAAGATATGGCAATAAAATTTGGAATGGACCTACTTCCATTGATGTGAAGTCAGGTGACACCATAGGAAATGATGGAAATGGCCACCATTGGCATACAGGCAGCAAAACATCAGTGCAGCGATCCAAGCAGGAACACCTGACGTTCTGAGACGGACTTTCCATAACATGGTATGTCACGTCCAATGCTGCCTAGACGCCAATGGTGGCCATTTCCAGCACTTGTTATAATATCACCTGACTTCGCATTAACGGAGGTAAGTCCACTCCAAATTTTGTTGCCATATCTTTTTTAGTGTCCGAGTTATGAGTGAAATACTGGACTCTGCCAGAGTGAAACACCCTATATAATGCATTAGAAAAAGCACACAGAAGTTCCTTATATCTTCAACACTTTGACAAGATAACTGGAGAAAGAAAAGAAGAAGTCATTGATATTGTTGCATGTGCGATATATTCCTTGACCACATGTCTGTCCTGTCATCACTCAGGTAACAGAAATCTTGGACAAGTCCACAATCTGGAAAGACTACAAGGATCAAAGACATGACTTGTTTATTAGTGACACCAACATTGCTGGTTACCTGACAGGTAAGCCTCTTTTATGTGGAATAAATCAATTGTTTCCCCTCCAGCAAATAAAAGTGTTGCCTTCCGTGACATGCAGGAAACACAACTGCCCAAAAAACAAACACAAAACTGCATTTACTGCCTGCATTAACCACTTTTGTGGTGTAGGCCAGGAAAGTCTTTCAGCCTGATGATTTAGGGACGCATGGCTATTGCCTTCACCGTGGACTGTGCAGGTCAAGATTTGTGTGTGTGTACCTGACAGAAAAAGTTCAGGTTTGTAATGAGGATTAAAACATTGCTCTCGCATGAGACCCCTTAAGATGTCTTAACTGTTCAGCCAGCTGTTCCTCAAAAACACTACTTGTATATTTGTTGTCATTTTCGGTACAATATTTTTTAATGGTCGTGTGTCTTTCACCCAAGATAGTTAATGAAAGTGTAATTTTCCCGTCTAAAAGAAAATGACAAAAACTGTCCAGACTTCGCAATTCAAGGGAGATAACAGTAAAATATTGTTTTTGTCAAACTTATTTTTCAAGGAGGTTAAAAAACAATTTCAGTATTCAAGGGAAATCCAGTAATTGTTAACTTTTAGTGATTATGATGGTAATTATTAGAAGTACGTAGAAACTTTGTTGCAGATAGCACCTAGACATTGCAGCCGGAATGACATCCTCAAAAATAACCCTTTTACTGGTCACTGTTTGGAAGGAGGTGTGACAAAAATATAAGGACAGGCAAAACATACATTTTCGGTTTCATAGTATATGATGATGTCTGCATCTGAATTGAACAGACCAGTACAGTGGTGAATATAAAAAGGATTTTAATAGTATAATTTGGTTTTAAATTTAAAAAAAAAAAAGGATAATCTCCACTCCTCCTGCCCTAATTCTAGGAAAGTGAAACAGTTGTCGTGCCTTCTTGAATTAAGGTGATATTCTTCTAGGTATTGTGTGGACATTGTGCACGCAAAAATAAATGCCTCAATGGTTGTTTATAACTTATCTAGTTAACCAACATTTGTTCTCCTCATACTGTTCTCAGGACCCGCAGGACCCAGTGTAGCAGGTTACCTCACTGCAGGAACCATGAGATCCACCATGCCCGATGTACCCCCACCTGTGGATACTGATCACAATGATGATGGTTAGTAACTTGACCATAACTGACCTGACCTGGGGAGGTCAAAAGTCATCATATTTAAAGGTGAAACATGGGGAAGTTGTCTTTCCATGGTGGCTAGGTCAGTGCTACATTGACCGTTTGGAAACATCTGTGCTAGAGCAGACAGTCCAGTAATTGTAAATGTTTAGAAAATTCTGTCCTGTTCACTCACAGTAAGATAAATAAATGTGACAAATACGCCAGAATTGCCTATATTCAAATACTGGAATAGCTAAGAGCTTTCTTAGTCAACAGTGATGTAATTGATCAAGCATGGCTGCAATATCACTAACTTTTGACCTATTTCCTGGAGGATTTTAGGGCTAATTTTGAGAAAGAATTTGAAGTTCTTTCATGAAGGATTTGGGGTATTTCGTGGACATTCATATGAAAGTCAAATACTGAATGTCTTATAACCTTTCAACTCTCCTGCTTGGTTTATGCTGCAAACATTTTTGCTGTACCTGCATGTTGTTATGTTTTTTTTTTCTGGCAACATTAGAATTGGATTGTTTGGATGTAGATGTTAAGAAAATCTGGACGTTGCAAAAGGATGTATACTCAGTTACTTGTTTTTACTGTCTGAAAGAAGGAAACGTTTAACATAGCCGAAACACTCGAAGATGTGAGCTCTTCTAAGAATCAGAAGTCTGCTATTGTGTCTGCTTCTCATTAGAGTACTTTCTACTTGTGCGAAAGAAAGAACAAGTTTAGCCTAGCCTTTTATTTTATTTTTTTTTTAAAGAAACAAAATATCTATAGCTTTATACATTTGTCTTTCATGAGGATAATGTGGTGGACAGGTCTAAATTGTTGCTTTTATATGCAGCTTTGTTAAAGTGGGTTTGATTCCTAGGTAAATGTATAGCTCTTGTCACGCAATATATTGTTCATTATGTCAATTCCATGAATTTTTCCATCTTGTGGTGACTCACGATTTAAGTTAGTGTTTCATATTCTTGCAGCATTCACATTATTGACTACTGTGTGAGGTATTTTGATTGACCTGTCTTTAATTTTCATACACTATTGGATGTTTTTTTTTTAAATAGAAGTTGTATATACTCTTTCATTATTATGTACATTTTAATGTCATTAAATTGTTCATGCATCATTGGATTACCTGTTTATGTGAAATGTATCAATTTCCTTTGTCTGTTATGAGATCACATTGTTTTCATTGAAAATAACCAGTTGAAAGCAATGTTGTTACTTACAGTGGTCTTGTTGTACATTATGAAACAATTCCTGTGTGACTGTTCGGTCATATGATTGAAGGCTGTCTGACAGTGTTTAGTCATATGATTGAAGGCTGTCTGACAGTGTTTAGTCATATGATTGAAGGCTGTCTGACAGTGTTCAGTCATATGATTGAAGGCTGTCTGACAGTGTTTAGTCATATGATTGAAGGCTGTCTGACAGTGTTTAGTCATATGATTGAAGGCTGTCTGACAGTGTTCAGTCATATGATTGAAGGCTGTCTGACAGTGTTTAGTCATATGATTGAAGGCTGTCTGACAGTGTTTAGTCATATGACTGAAAACTTTTAGTGGGGGAAAAAGGGCCCCTCTTTTATAATCTTCTATATCCTCCTCCTCCTTTTCGTTATTTTCTTCTGCTTCTTTTTTTTTTTCCATCTTCAACCTTCTTCTTTCCCTGCTCCTGTTTCTCTGTCTGTGCCTGAAATGTCTTTCATTGTCAGGCTAAAGAACACTCAAAATGTGATGCACACCATCTAGAATACAGTAAAGCTAGTTAAGGACCTGTTTTGTGCCACTGAAGCATCGAGCATATGATTTATATTTTTATAGACCAATTGGCTCTCGTTAAGAATGTGGCCAAATTTTGCCAGCCGCATTTACTTCCCAGGACATTACCTGGTACCAATTTTACGCTGAGTCTACGTGGTAGCCAAAGTCAATTTTCTTTTAAATCGGCCACGATGCAGATTTGAACCCAAAACCTGCAACCTGGTGAGCTTCTAGCAAAAATCCAGTAGAGAGCATAATTGCTGTTATCATGCACGCCTGGTATTGTATTTATAATAACCTGCTGGTTGAGAATCTGCTCTAGTCTGCTGCTCTAGTCTGGCCTCACATGCCACCATCAGGGATGTACAGTGTGGCAGTAATTTAGTTTCTTTCCTTGAAGAACTGGTAGAATGTCAAGAACCTTACAACTGCTAGCTGATGAAGACAAGCAGGAGAGGCTCGAGGATGACAGTCGACTTGCATCTTATGTTTGTTTTTTTTACTGTAAGAAGATTATTTCTGTAGAGCAGTGGTTGCAAACCTTTTTTTCAGTTGATGCCTCCTTGAGTATATGGCAACAACCCCTCTCCCCACCCCCCACCCTCCCAACATAACAAAATGTGATTAAAAAGACGGACTAAAAGAGAAATTTCAAGCACTGTTAACAAGAACTTGGAGAAAAAAGACACACATAATTCAAAGTTTCAAATAGAAAAAGAAACAATCACCAACAACTGGTAATTCAGTGTTCAAAGATCAGTGTGATGGTTGAAACCATTTTGTGTCTTGAGGATATCTACTGTTTTTGGTCTGATGATGGACACGGCACAATGGAGATCACTCTCCACATCAAGCTGGCATTGCTGTTTTGTTGTTACAACTGAAGAAGCTGAACATTCGGATTATTACAAGTACAGATGCACTCACTTTCTTCTCCCAGTGCAACTTTCTGCCACCCTCCTAGGGGTTGCGCACCTCCCAGGCTGGAGACCAGTGCTGTAGAAAGTCAAAAACTGCAGACACACAAGAGTTGAATGTGAGTAGATCATGAGGCAAACCAAGAAGACAATAGAGAAGAAATATATAGACAAAACTGCAAAGACACAAGAGTTGAATGTGAGTAGATCATGAGGCAGACCAAGAAGACAATACAGAAGTAATAAAAAGACAAAACTGCATAGACACAAGAGTTGAATGTAAGTAGATCATGAGGCAGACCAAAAAGACAATAGAGAAGTAATATATAGACAAAACTGCATAGACAAGAGTTGAATGTGAGTAGATCATGGGGCAGACCAAGAAGACAATACAGAAGTAATATATAGACAAAACTGCATAGACACAAGAGTTGAATGTGAGTAGATCATGAGGCAGACCAAGAAGACAATACAGAAGTAATATGTAGACAAAACTGCATAAACACAAGAGTTGAATGTGGGTAGATCATGGGGAGACCAAAAAGACTATAGAGAGATAGTTTATAGACAAAACTGCATGCAGACAAGAGTTGAATGTGAGTAGATCATGAGGCAGACCAAGAAGACAATACAGAAGTAATAAAAAGACAGAACTGCATAGACACAAGAGTTGAATGTGAGTAGATCATGAGGCAGACCAAGAAGACAATAGAGAAGTAATATATAGACAAAACTGCATAGACACAAGAGTTGAATGTGAGAAAATCATTAGGCAGACCAAGAAGATAATAGATAGATAATATATAGACAAAACTACAGACACTTGAAGTCACCAACTGGAAAGAAAAAGACAGTCACAGCGGTGGGTGGTGGAGTGATATATGCAGCACTGAACATCAAGGGTCTGGATGTTGAAGAAGAAGAAAATTCATTTATGCATCTCTTTCTGCTAGTTAAAAGACAATTGATTGCTTTATTTTCCTTCTCTTTTGTTTTTCTTTTTTCTGTCACATATGAGATGATTGGCGTGTGACAACTTTAGTAAACTCATCTCTATGTATTATGCTGACTGAAAGCTAATGAATTTTGGGAATGTAGCTCCAGCAGTTGTTCCAACAATTTTAAGATTACAGTAACATACATTTTTTGATTAGTAATATTCATTTTGAACCAGTAGTACCATCAATTTTGAGACTGTTAGTCTTATCCATTGTGAGACATTTGTCTTGAGACTGTATCCCCATCACTTGTGTGACTGTTGTCCCATCAAATTTTTTTTTCTGTTGTCCTATAAGTTTTGAGACTGTAGTCCTATTAATTTGGACACTTGTTATTTGAAACTGTTTTCAGACATTTGTATCACTGTGGGAAATGCATATGTCTCGTACTGAATAATTTATTTTGTGTCTAGTGCATGATTTTTTTAACACTCCCTATTAATTTACAGCTTCTTTTGAAGTCGGAGTGCATCTGCCCGATCAGCAAGGAACAACCAACTGCACACAAATAAGTCAGTTAAGCTGATGTACATGCAAAACTCAGGTCCTGGCACAAAGCCAAAGTCCAAATGGATAAACAACCAGAACTTACCGCCAGAGCATACAGCTGGTGAGCAAAGAAGAAGAAGAATTTACAACTTGTAGAACTTTACAGGGATATATATTGCTGGGTCTTCACCTAGAAATAATGGGTGCAAAATAAGAAGGGTGTGATTCTGTTATTCTTCTTTTTCTTCTAATTTTTCTTCTGCTCTGCATTTAGGTGTTTGGCACATATTGGGATCATGTTGCATGAGCACCACATTGTCATAACAATACTGCTTGGAATTTTTGCTATAGAGAGGAGGAACTTTATCCCTGAAACTTTATAGTTGCTGCTTCCGTCGACGATAAACAGCATTTCTAAAGTTGGACTGTTTGTGTTGGCACTTCTGATGGCTGTTCTATGCATTTGATGCTTGTATTTGCTATCGGATTTGCTGAGACTGCAGTCTGTGTCAATTTTGTTTTGTTTTTACAAGAGACACTGGTGGACATTCTGTGTGGTTTTTATTGGCACGGGATGGGAGCAACTGTGAAATTACTTGTTTGCTTTGAAATTGAAACTGTGGTTACCTGATTTACTCTGACTTTCATTGCTGTCGCCCTGGATGGTGATTTCCCTGCCTCTCTACAGCCCAGTGAAACACTTTTGGCTGGAAAGAAGGAAAGGTGCCAACAAACAACTGTTGCTTCCATTTTTTGTTCCTTTTCCGTGCTAGAAAATAGTGGAACTCACCTGGTAGCCATTTTTATGATGACGGGTAAACCCTATAATCGT